TTAACATGTGGGAGGCAGTATGAAGCTAAAGAGGTAATTCAATAATAAAAAAAAAAAGTTTAGTTAGTCCCTACTGCATTTAATGTAAGTTCTGGTGGCCATACATTTGCTGGCCAGACATTTCTTGATCTCATAATTATGTGCTTTACTTATTCATGGAAACAAACCCAGTGGCGTGATTCTGACTATTTTCAATAGTTTCAGTGAAAGCAAAATTAAATAAGTATCAGATGTCAAGAATTAGAATATTTTGAATATCTAAAGATACTGGGAAGCTTAACTTTAATCAGAATAAGATCCTTAGTGATGGCATCTGTCTTCTGAAAAAATTCCATCTTTGGATCGCTACCATTATTATGTGTCAGAGCGACCTTTTATCTGTATGTTTAAGACATTGGTTAGTATTTGAACACTTTCAGAAGAGACTTGATCTTATTTGCAGTGCCCTGGGAGCTGAAGTACAGATTTAGGAGCTAAAGTTTAGACACTTGGATTTGAAAACTGGTCTCTGCGAGTAAGCCTACAGTGATTATTTAAATTCTGCCACTTAAAATGAGCACATGAGATAAAAATTGTTATGTACATTGGACTTTAGGGGCAGGTAGCAGTTTCTTGCTCCATGTTTCACAGGGTAGCACTGAGGGAGAAGGGAGCTTGCTACTTTGCTTCATTTCCCTCTTATTCTCTTTTTTTTTTTTTTTTTAAGTGCAAGCACGTAGCTCTGTTAGAAGGGAGAGAAAGAGTAGGTGTTATAATAACACGTAGGCTTTGAGACAGGCAGTTCTGGAAGTTACTTAAACAAAACCATTGAGATCATTTTGTCAAGACACTGTCTAGTTCACCAGTATATGCTTCAGAAGAAAAAACCGGATCACTTATACCTTTCCTTTATTTGCTGCATGAGTTACTCTGCCAGATTGCTATCTATACCATCACCTCTATGTTCTTTTGCTCGATTTCCTGTGCATAGAGCAAAGTGCAGCAGAGAAATTACAGGTGAACAAACTCATGTTTAGAAACATAATTTTTTCTTGTTATGTTTTGAGTGCAGAATTCATACTGAAGAAAAAGAATTAAACAAGACAATCTTCATAGCAGAGCAGGACAAAGCCAACCATGCAAAACACAGAAGAGATGCTCCTGTGTCCATGAGATGTGAAAAGTGAGGTGCTGAGCACAATGGCATTGTTAGCTCTTCTCCTAGGCTGGAGAAGAAGAATCCTACTTGGTGTAAAAGAACTTATGAAGAAGATACTTTTTAGACATTTGGTTGAGGTGACAGCACTTCTCAACAGCACCACTTCACCACCTGAGAAAAAGGGGAATTACCACCAAACAATGGCAGGGGCTGTGAGATGAGGTGAGGTGAGCAGAGCACGTGGAGTGGCAGGGAGAGAAAGAAAAGCAGATAAACTTCCCCCCCACACACACACACACAGGAGGTTGTTTTTAGATTCTCTTTGTCAGCGTCAGCTTGTTGATGTGGGTACATGGCCCTGTCGAGTTACTCCACTTCTGAAAGTTTGTAGCCCTGAAAGGCAGAGGAGTGTTTAGCATTCTGGGACTGATGCTTGCCACCAGTTTTGTTGTTGCCTCTGGAAATACTGATGCAGTTGATCTTTGTGCAAGCACGTAGCTGTAGATTAACAAACATGCAATGGAATAGCTTCAACATAAACTGGGAATACAAAAAGAAGGCATGCCAAAGGAATGAAAAGCTACAAATAAGTGAAACAAAGTTGTAAGGGTTTCCTTTCTTCCCCAAATATGCTAGAAATTTTGTTGTTAGCAAACCTGAGGTGAATATTTCCATTAATAATGGAAATAATGAATACTGCATTAAATTATGCAGTAGTAAAGTAGAGCACAGGACTTAAACTATTGTTAAGACTTGTAAAGAACATTTTACTAGATGGGTACACTAAAACAAACCTGCAACTCCATCTCTGGAATCACAAAAGATGTAGAGTCAGAAATACAAATAAGAAGCTAGTTCTCATGATGTCTGTAGACTGGAATTTTATTGGTATAGAAGTAGCACAATTAGTGGTTGTGAAGACTAAAGAAAATTACTATTTCTGTATGTAATGCAATGCATAACTTGCCTTTGTTTATTCTTTTTTCTCTCCTTTTCAATTTCCCGAACAATTTTTATCGCTTGGCATGTGTTGAACAAAAAAGTAAAGCGGTAAATAGATTATGGAAAATTCCAATCTTGTATTCATAATGAATTCGTGTTTTTAATTGCTTGACTGGTAGATTAGAGATACATTTTTACTTTCTTTAAGGCTTTTGTATGCCACATTACATCTTTCAGGTGTGTTGGTTTCCAGTTTGCTAGCATAGTGCAGGTTGAGTATGCGCTATATGGTTGAAACCCAGGAGTAGTAGTATTTAATATTCTGAGACATCAGGAAGCAGTACATCATTTGATTGTTCAATTACTGCAGTATAAAACACCTTGGTCTTTTTTTCTGTATGTTTGTCTGCTTGGATGTTCACAATTCCTGGCACTCTTACCTTCCCAGCTATGTGTAATCTGCCCAGCTCTTCCCTTAGCGCTCCAGTACAAACACCGGCAGTATGATCCGTGTGGAGGCGTGATTGTGACAGGATAAAAGCTGCAGCGTGTGCATAAAAGGAACCAAATTACTTACGCTCAATTAATATGGCCATGCTTCAGAGAGATCACCAAACCATGGCTAAAAGCACCCTTTTATGTAATTAACTTGTTATTTTCTCTTTGATTTGTGTAAAATTGGTTTTTGTTGTTATTGAAGAAAAAAACAGTTGCAGTAGACTGAATTTTAAAGAAACCACCATTAATAATATTGATAATAACTTATTAGTGTAAGCCACTCGTTTAATTGTGAAACAATGGAAAGTACAAAACAGTGTGATGGAAGACTGCTTGACTTTGAACGTGTTAAATCCAGTCTAATGTGAATAGATTTTGGACAAAAGAAATAAGTGCAAAGTTTGTTTAAAGGTTAAGTGAATGATTACTGCAGAAATTTCTTTCTGGATGCACAAGAGGAGCACGAAATCCCTGTAACTAGGATTTGGAGCCAGTAGTTCTGTCAAGGGATTCAAGTATCTCCGTCACTGGGCTGCTGAATGTGACAAAACAACTTCTTACTCTTCACAGTTAAACTTCCTCTATCAGGACTGAGAAGGGAATAGGTTGGGTTCTGCAGAACTTCCACATTATGTGCGATGTGTAGTCTTTAATCTTTCAGTTCACAAGGAATCTCCTGAATATCCAGTCACCCTAAATGAATGTATGTGTACATTAAGTCGACATCGAGTTGGAAGCAGGATTTTGAATTTCCAAGTATCTGGCATTAGCACACATCCCAGTTAGGTTGTGCTCTGGCATGGAGAAAACGTAACATCTTGACTTTCTTTTCCTACTGGCTACTTTGCATTCTCTTCTGCTAGACAAGCTTTAGGCATTGCTTGGACTTCCTTTGCATGGAGCAGGATTTTCACCCTGGATTCATCAGCTCCAGTATCTCTTGTCAGATGCATACTATGCGTTGGCTTTCCTCCCACTGCAGTGTAGAAGGCAGCTGGTGTTTCTGCAAGAGGATAGACTTCATGCCACTCAAAGGGGCCATAGGGTTGATAGGTACTGGGAAGTCTGAGCTTTCTCCACTTACCTTCTTGTGAAGTTGACTGTGAGAATTTTGTGTCTTTATACGTTGCCTTAAAGGTTTTTTCTTTACCTAGAAGTGTACATAAACCTCTGCTCCCGAGTAGCTCTATGTGGAAGTAAACATACTACATGGAGTTACTCGCTACTGCTTCACAAAATGTGTATGCAGCTGAACCTTTTCAGAGACATCAGCCCTCTAGTCACATCAGATTCTTTCTTTGCTTTGTACATTGGCAATCAGACGAATATGGGTTTGGCTAACAGCCTAATTAATTACTTTTATAAGAAAATAGATTTACATCCATTTAATAATTGGCTTCCTCTGCACTACCAGTGATGGTAGCTGAGGCAGTGGCTATGACTGAGTGTATGTTAGGAAAGAAGTAAAAAAAAAATAATTAGCAAACAGGTTAAACAAGGGTGTGTGTAACATCAGGTATCAAAGAAAAAAACTGTAACTATCAACACTGAAATTCAGTCGATATGTATTTTCTGTTATAAAGGAGATTGGACTCTGTAGAAATACAAGTACTTGCTACAAAATTACTCTGATGAATAATACTCCCAATTTATTTCCTCTTCACTACTTCCCTAAAACGCTGCGTCCATACCTGCTTAAAATCAGCAACAAGTGTAGCTAGTAATGAAATAACTCAAATTTAGTTTATTTTGTTTCATGATGCACAAATAGAAAGTCATTTAAGTGTGACTGATTTTATTCATCCACAGTAGTTGCTCATCTGAAATGCTATTGAAGTTCAGTAATTGGAGCTCTGAAATACAGTATTTGACAGATGGTGTGGGTGGTTGTGCCATTTCCATGATAAATCTACTTACAAATATAACCGTGAGGAAGTTGTCTTCAGTCCTTGACTACGGCAACATATAGATGGAAAAAGTGACAAACACGACATGAAAACGAATTTGTGTCTTGGTTCTTCATTTTCCTGCTATAATGATTTGAATTTTTAAACAAGTAAAAGAGAGAGGTTTCTTTTTACTTTATCTGAAAAGGAGTTGCTATAAATGCTAAAATATTCCTTCAGTAGCCTTTCTTTTCTTAAATTTCTTACATTTCTTTTGAAGCTTTTCCTACAGTGAATTACTTTTGTAACATCTTACAGCATCAGTTAGAAAGCATTGCTCCTTTTAGATAAAAACAAAATAGATCTTTGCTAAGATATGTTTACTGTTAAAAAAAATACTGGAGGCTGGAGAGATGGACAGGCCTGTTGCCCCAGGGCTTACTGTTGAAACTTAGAGATGGTAAAATGGTATAAATAAAAATATACTGCATTATCCAGTTTGAATATTCTTTTTTATTCTCTTTGTGTTTTAACAGAAATCACTGATGCTGGTACTAGAGGAACACAAGATACAATTAAAGGTGTGAAAAGAAAAAAGATTGTGACTGAAAACCATCTAAAAAAAATACCAAAATCGCCTTTGAGGAGCCCCGCTGAAGCCAAGGTTAAGCAAAATGTAGACCCTTCACCACTAAAAGCTCTTCCGGATGCCTCTGAACACGCCACAGCACAGGATCACCTACCCATGCAGAATGGAAACCAATGTACCAAACAAAATGGGGGAGCGCTTAGTAGTGAGATAAGTGTTGAAACAACCAAATCTGAGACATCAGTGCAGACAAAGCTTTCATTGACGCATCAGTCCTTAGATTTGGGTAAGCAGGCAGGGGAGGATACTGATGCAAACCAACTGAACTCACCAGAGAAGAAGTGTCTCTCAAACTCCTCATCAAGTAAAACAAAGACTGACAGTAATGAATGTACTAATTTTGTTGATTGCAGTACGTCATCCCCATGTACACATACTGCATTCGATGTCTTATTAAAAGCTATGGAGCCTGAACTGAACACCTTAGCACAAGAGTGCCCCCCTTATGGGATGCAGATAGAGAAACTGAGACCAAATAAAACTGTAAGCACCTCTTCTAGTGTCACGTCCAATACAATGAGCGTCCAAAATCAGTCAGCTTTGTCACAGCATGAGTTTGCAGCTGGACCTCACTATTACCCACGTACGTTAAACAATGTGCATGTAGCAGCAACAGCCAAGACTGGACAAGCACAAGGCCAATCAGTTTCTCATTCACAAGACCTTATTACTAAAACCAGTCAACAAAATCACCAGGTTGTTATGTGTCCAAGTTTCACTAGATCGCTGGTGCAACAGCAGAGTCAAGAAAACCCCAAGCTCCAGCAGATTTACAGCATAGCAGTAACTTCATCTGTCGTTCACACCTCATCTTCTACTGTAACTCAGGTTTTTCCTCAAAACCAGTTAGTAGCTAGTTCATCTTCACCTTTGTCAATTAGCACATCGAGTTCAACACACTTGTCTATAGGTCCCATGTATAATTCAGCCCAGATAGCATCAGTTGTAAACCATGGTGTAGAACAAATATGTAACCTCTTGAAAGACCAGAAGCCTAAAAAGCTAGGGAAATATGTCTGTGAATATTGTAATCGGGCCTGTGCCAAGCCCAGTGTTCTCCAAAAGCACATTCGATCCCATACTGGAGAGCGACCGTATCCTTGTGTGACATGTGGGTTTTCATTTAAAACCAAAAGCAATCTGTACAAGCACAAAAAATCTCATGCACATGCTATCAAACTTGGACTTGTCCTACAACCAGATTCGGGTGGCCTCTTCTTATCTCATGACTCGGACAAAGCACTTAGCATTCATTCAGATGTGGAAGAAAGTGGCGAAAGTGAAGATGAAGGCACTGCTGATGAAAGACAAGATGATCAAGAACTGGAACCCACACAAATAATGAAAGTCATTTCAAGTGCAGAAATGTTGCGAAAAGCAAGCCCTGTTCCATTAAGCAACCCAGATTGTATACCAGGTGACACTTCATTACATGATACAGAACCTCAAGTAAGGGCAGCTTTGCCAAAAGTAGTCGTTCATCCTGTAAATGTTTCCCCATTAAGGGCCGATAGCCCAAAAGTAACAGAACCAGCACCCGAGCTTGCTGCAGCACAGAGAAAAGGAGATTTTAAAGTGACAACTCTTCAGTCAAATTTATCACATACAGCCTCATTCAAGGAGAATGACATAAAGCAACACCAGAAAGTAGAAATGGGCCTATTAGAGGAACAGCTAGGATCTGCAGTAGGAGCAGTGCATGCTCAGCTCCAGAGACAACAGGCAACCGATGGTTCCCAAGATCAGCAGGGAAAATGTCTTTTGAGTCCTAGAAGTTTAGGTAGTACTGATTCTGGTTATTTCTCTCGTTCTGAAAGTGCCGATCAAACCATGAGCCCACCAGCTCCTTTCGTAAGAGGATTGTTGACCTCTGAGAAAGACCCCAATAAAAACCTGCCCTGTGTGCCACGAGCAAGTGGCGTGGTAGCATCAGTAGTACAAACTGTTTGTGCCGAAAAAAATCTGATTCTCTCTGGCCAAATGCGACCTCCCATGGCAACAAAAACTCTTGAGGAGCGTATCTCAAAACTAATTTCAGATAACGAAGCTGTTGTGGATGACAAACAGTTAGATAGTGTGAAACCAAGAAGAACATCTCTTTCGAGAAGAGGAAGCATAGATTCACCAAAATCCTACATATTTAAGGATTCTTTCCAGTTTGATCTAAAGCCCATGGGAAGAAGAACTAGCTCAAGCTCTGATATACCAAAGTCTCCTTTCACACCCACTGAGAAATCGAAGCAAGTTTTTCTTCTTTCTGTACCGTCCCTTGACTGTTTACCTATAACACGAAGTAATTCCATGCCTACTACCAGTTACTCAGCAGTACCTCCAAATATAATACCTCCCTCTCATCCTCTTCGAGGAAGTCAGTCATTTGATGATAAAATTGGCTCTTTATATGATGATGTTTTTGTATCAGGACCTGCTACTCCGCTGAACCAAGGCGGACATCCTCGGACACTTGTGAGACAAGCAGCAATAGAAGATTCTTCTACTGGTGAAAGCCAGGTTCTTGGACCGGTGCGATCTATAGAAGAAAGTTATCTGGGATGTAATTTATCAAATGAATCTTTATTGCAAAGGAGCAAGTCCCTGGCACAGGGATCAAATTTAGAAAAAACAAAGAAGTCCCCTCAGGTGCGAGGAACAATGTTTGAGTGTGAAACCTGCAGAAACAGATACAGAAAACTGGAAAATTTTGAAAACCACAAGAAATTTTATTGTTCAGAATTGCATGGACCTAAAACTAAAGCAGCAATCCGAGAGCCTGAACATAAAACTGTTCCAAACAGTACACAGCCTCAAATTCTACACTACAGAGTCACTACTTCAACTGGTGTCTGGGAGCAGACACCCCAGATAAGAAAAAGAAGGAAAATGAAAAGTGTTGGCGATGATGATGACCCACAACAAAATGATACGAGTATACCATCAAAGAACACAGAAGGCCAAAGCAAGCCAGCAAATTCTTCCAGTCTCTCAAAACACAGTGCAACAGCAGTGGTAGGATCACAACAGCCAAGCAACCTTCTACTTCAGAGTTCCCAAATTCAGCTTGTGGCTCGAGGCACAGATCAGACTACTGAGCCAAAGATGGCTCCACTCATTGAAAAGCAGGCAAGTTCAGCTGTGCAAGAAAAGGTGGAGTTGAAAAGACAAGGGACTGGCATTTCAGTAATACAGCACACCAATTCACTGAGCAGAAATAGTTCATTTGAGAAATCGGAATCATTTGAAAGAGTATCACCAGTTTCTTCTCAAGAGCCCAACAAGGTTGCAAAGCACCGCTCTTTGAACACAGTTGTAATCCAAGAGGATAGGCACTCTCATCTAAATACTCCCCAGCATCACCAACCCCTGTCATCAGAAGCACCTAGAGGGGAAATTCAGGGAAGCCAAATAGTTTCTAATGAGAGAAGTGTACCTCTTCAGCCATCAAGACTTGTTCGCCAGCATAACATCCAGGTTCCTGAAATACTGGTCACAGAAGAACCAGACAGAGACCAAGAAAACCAATGCAGCGATCAGGAAAAGACAGAAAAGTTTAATTGGCCACAGCGCAGTGAAACACTGTCAAAATTGCCAACAGAAAAGCTTCCACCAAAGAAGAAAAGAATTCGCTTGGCTGAAATGGAGCATTCATCCGCTGAATCAAGCGTTGACTCCACGCTTTCCAGAAGCTTAAGTCGGGAGAGTAGCTTATCTCATGCCTCCAGTTTCTCAGCTTCACTCGATAAAGATGAAGCTTTGAAGACTGAGAACGCTTCCAAAGCAGAGACTGTCAGTAAGTCGTCAGAATTCCTCATGATTCCTGCTGGCTCGCATGCACTAGCTGTGCCTGGACCGCATTACCGGGAAATGAGACGTGCTGCCTCGGAGCAAATCAGCTGCACGCAGCCGTCAATGGAGGTTGTGGACTACAGGAGTAAGTCTTTCGACTGTGGAAGCATGTCTCCATCAAAACCTGCCTCACCTGTAGAGGTAGCTGCCCCAAAAGTGTCATCTGCAAATGGAGTTACTGGACATGTTACTGGACATGTGCCTCTGCTAGAAAGGAGGAGGGGGCCATTTGTGAGACAAATATCTTTAAATATTGCTCCAGAAAATCATCAGACTCAAGTTAAATCGACTTCTTCATTTCAGACAGCTCATGCTACAGATGTGCCCACAGTGCCATTGCACAGGCTGCAGACGTCCAGCAAATCTTCGGTGGAGTTTCCTTCAAGTACTCAGCATTCACAGACTCACTCCAGGCCTCAATTGACAATTCAGAATTGTAATCCTGTTAGCCTGTCTTCAGTTCAGCAGCCTCTAGATCATGTGTTGAATAGTCAAGGACAGCCATCCTCAACTCACCAGCTTTCCCAGACATCTACTAAAACATCAGCCCAAGGAGAACAAGGGAGCACATACGCACTTTCTTGTCATTCCGATGAAAAAAAGGATTGTTTTGCTCCAAAGTATCAACTTCAAGTTAAAACATTGCATATAGGTCAGCCATACACTTCTAAATTGCTAAAAAATACTCTATCAACTCAGACTGTTCCAAGTCAAGCTGGAGTAGACCAGAATACATCCTCCTTTGAATTGCAGACTAAACTGGCTGACATGTCTAATCCATACCCTGTGCCTCCTCTAAAGCAAATTGTCCCTAATAACTGCAGCAGTCAAATACATCAGATTTCTCCTTTTGTGGTTCCCGTCCGTATTCACAGCAGCATGCCATCTTATGGCTTTGCAACTGTTACACCCCTTCCTCACATTTTTGTGACCCAGGATCAGGTAAATCAATCTGTCTGCAAAACAAATGTTGTGACAGTGCCAATGCTTGAAGGCAAAACTCAGCTGCCAAAACCTCACAAAGATCATCAGAGGACTTTGCCAAATTTATTTGAATTTGAAAATTCACAGCTAGAAAGTGGAATCAGAAATTCACCTTTGTCGAGCTCTTTGAATATTATTCAGAAAGTGCCAGTTAGTGGACTCTTCCCTCAACCAGAAGCTACAGCTTCAAGTAAGCGAATGCTTTCCCCAGCCAACAGTTTAGATATTGCCATGGAAAAACAACAAAAACGTGTTAAAGATGAGAGTGGAGCTGCCTGCATGACAGATGCTAGACCACTGCATTCACTGAACGTTAGATCTAATGACCCTGCCAGTAAGCAAAAGAAACCAGTTTTGGTAAGACAGGTTTGCACCACAGAGCCTCTTGAAAATCACCTCTTAGATCCTGATGGTGTTGCACAGCATGAAAAAAGCATCAAAGCTACTACTTCAGACCTGCTGTTGCCTGACCGTCATTCAGTTGACACTGGGGTTTCAGAAACCCTAAAGGAGTTACCAGAATCAGAAGACCTTAAGTCGTCAGCATTGCCAGTGTTTGTAGTTAGAAAACCATCTGAATTGTCTCCAGTGAATAATCAGAGTTCTCTTCTCAATGCTGTAAGTAGCAGTCAAGAAAGAAAGTCCCCAAGTAACAGTAATGAGAGCAAGCACATCAATAGCCAGGGCCAAGCAAAGCCTGTAACTACACTGACTGCAATGAATGCAGGAGAAATGCAGAGGTTGTCATTTCCAAGCCTCAAGACCACAACAAGTTTTACCTGGTGTTATCTCTTGAAGAGAAAACCACTGCATCTGCTGCAAAATGATCAGAAAATCTCAGCCTATTCTACATGGACCATTAGTCCCAACAATCCCAATCCACTTGGGTTGTCGACAAAGGTAGCTCTCTCCCTCCTCAATTCAAAACAAAAAGTTGAAAAACCCCTGTACACTCAAGCAAGAACTACTCATCCCAGATCTGATGTACTTGTCTATTCAAGCAAGTGGAAGAGCAGCTTAACCAAGGTACTTAAATTTTGATTGAGGTATACTGATCATTTACAGAGGAATTGCTTTGGAAATCATGCTTGTTCGTATTTTAGAGAATGTAATATACCTGACATGTATAGTACATGTGCTTATGTATTTTAGTTAAGTTGAATCAAACCGCTAAAAAGATCTTAAGTAATCTCATTAAGAAACCCGTTCAAAACGAATTACTGCTTTTCCTGGAAATTAGTGCCTGGATTTAAATCTGTATATGAACTGTTTATTGTGGCAGGAATGTGTTTGGCTATTTTTTAAATGCAAAGGGTAGAACAAAAATAGTTCTGATATAAATATTTTTTAAACAATTAAACCAGGTTAATTTAAGATAATAACTGCATATTTTGCCTTAAAAGTCGGCTGGTATTTTCTGTTACAAAAGAGTGCTCAGCCTGAACAGGTGTCCATGGATACACCATGAAAACATTTTTCACCATCACAGATCATCTAACTGTGAGCAGAGCAGCATGCCATTTCCCTTTCTCCCACCTAGGTTAATCGGTGGTGTGAAATAATGATAAAAATAGTGAAATTGCAGCTGCCATAAAACCACTGACAACTTCTTGCATCGATACGGCTCCAAAGATGACGTTAAATCTTGCGTGGTGGAATATACTCAGGGCAATGTTTGTGACCCACAGAAAACACTACATTATTCCAGAGTCAGATGAGACAGAGCAAAGTAGTCACTTGTTATTTCCTTTAGCTGTTTTGGGGCTGCACACGTGTGATCAGGATTTCACTCACTGGACAGTTTTGTTATGGACAGGACCAAAGCTGTGCTGGTTTGCACTGGATTTGGCATTCCTTGGTGACTGAACCATCTCTGTGAATAGGTAAAGGTGGCTCTCTGCCCTGTAGTATGGCAGCAGGTGTCCATGTCTATTTAATGGATCCAGTACTAGCTTTTAGTGTCCCATCTAGTGAAGCTGTAAAGCTTTCTGAAGCATACAGCACAGTTTTGCACTCCTCTATGCTGTGCACACTGTGTCTTTGATGCCAAACTTCTCTTCGAAGCTGGCAAAAATGGGGGTGTTAGCTGCAGATCACCCTTTCTTCAGAATCCATCAGGACATACAAGTGGGGGTTTTTTGGGGTAAAAGTAATCATAACTTGTCCTAATCCTGCAGTCTGCCATCAGCAAAACTTCTGGGGCCTTGGGCTGGGAATTGGAGTCAATGTGGCCAGTCACCTAGAGGAGACATACCACAGCCTTTGGAAAAGACATGTATTTCTGTGGATGTTGAGTGACAGACTGTTGCTGTCAGAGGTCACCCTGGGATGTTTCTGTGTTTGCTAAATGTTTTGCTAAGATCTAAAGTTGTCAGTGGGGAAAAGAGCAATAGGATGAGAAACTGTGTAAGAGGAAGAAATAGTTTCAGAATTACAGGGGTAGTCAGCTGAAACCCTAAAGACCAGAAGAGCATTAGAGTTAAACCTGGTCCTCCTGAAATCAGTGGGAGACTTTGTTAACATTTATATTGGAGGTCAAAACTTTATCTGTAATGTTTCATGCAGAAAATACATACAGACTGCTGGCTTCGTGTGAGTGCTGTAATTGAATTGAATTGTTGGTTCCATATTAGCATGCTGCCTTTGTTTAAACTCTTAGTACCTTTTTCAGCCTGCTTCCTCATACATTTTCTGAGATGTTGTAGTGCTAAATTAAAAAAAAAAAAGAAAAGAAAAAAGAAGAGGATTCAAAGGATTCAAAAGGATTCAAACTTTTTTCACTGTGTGTAGTTGAGCAATTCTTGCTAATGCAAGTCTCATCAGTTGTGTCATTGACTCATGTTTGGTTTATTTTTAAAGAACAGCCTATCAGAAGAAATTCTCTGATAACAAAGCTACTGCATGCCTCGTGAAGAACAAATTGTGTCTACAAACAAATTCTGTTTAGAATATAAATAATGGATAATAATATTTTGAAAAATATTTTGACAGCATCCTTTTAAACACCCTAGGAGTACTTAAACGCTGTAATAGGCAGCTGTCAGGTACATTTACAGTGCTTCTGACACAAAAGAACTACAGTTACTAATCTTTCTTCAGTCTTTCTTGCTGATATTTTGAATGAAGTGCACAGGCATGGTGAAAATGAAGAATTCTTAAGCTCTGCTTGCGGCTGATTTATAGGCTTTACTCAGAGCCATTATGGAAGAAGAAAGTGCAGCAAGTAAGCACCAATTAAAGTTTAATTGGCATCTCAGGTTGTACTAGCAAGGTATAGGATGGCAGAAATTAAAAATTTCAAAGACCTGATAGGTACTATGACCTCACACCTCCAGAATTTGTGTGCTTTCCCTTCTAATGAATCAGGCAGCAGGATTTCAGCCTCTTTCTGGGATGCTGATACTGCTGATGATGCCGTTACAATCTATCTCTGTCTTATCAGTCTCCAGTTAGACCTGGTAGTGGAATAGCCAGTTCCAACTTGGAAACCTCCTCACAGAAGCCAGGTTTAAAGAAAACAAAAACTGAAATTCCTCATTCAGTTCAGGCCCAGTAATTCTACTGTTTTTTCTGGTTGAGACTGAGGGTGGAAAACACTGGAGGTCCTTTTGGAAATTAATATTCCATTAAAAAAAAAAACACAAACCAAAACCAAAAAAAGCCCCAAACAAAGCCAACAACGATTAGCAAATAATTCTCAAAAAAATAAGTGATTGATTTTCTGCTTAAAAAGCTTGATGGGGTCCTGAGTTCCTTCAGAAACCACAGTTTAGATTGCAAGTCTCTGGGGGTTGTGTTTGCTCAAGTGGTTTGCACCTTTTAACCCTGACCTAATGGAGAGCTTTAAGTGCTACTATAATCCGATTTATAAATAATAATAAAAATGCATCACTGCTATGTCTCACCTCCTCTCTCAGTCGTGGGGCTTTAACTGCTGATCTTCTAACCAAGATAAAACAACTTGCTGAACTGTTCCTGGGTTTACCCCTAGAACCGAGTTGTGTTTACAGACATCTCATGCTGCTGCATAACTGCTACTAATCACTGTCACAAAAAAAGGCAATTCTTTCAGCAATAGATACCATGGAAATGAAGAGACATGTGAGCAAAATGCAAACAATAAGGAACCCCGGGACTTTGTTTGCTCTTCACAATTCACTGCTCAGAGGCAATAGGTGAAGTTGCCACGTTCCACTGATTCAGAGAACAAACCACAAAATGTTATTGTGAAAGAAGCTCCTGGAATGAGTACAGCACGTTAAAATGTAACAGGAGGTTCACCTGCATGGAAAAGGCTTATTTTCTCTCCCTGCTCTTTTTATTTTATTGTTCTATTTATTGTTATTTTTCACCAGTTTTCCTCACCTAAAAGTCAGTGGTGTTGTATCAGGAGCCCTTTCTCAAGCCCAGACATTGATCTTGGCTCTCCTCTCTAAGGTGAATCAGTATTGCATGCAGTATTCCAGGGTGAAGATTTTTTTGGCAAAAATAGGCTGAAGAATGGAAAGTTTTCCTGAGTGGAAAGCTTTCTTTGCTTGGATGATGTGCCACAACAGTCCAGCTCACCACTGGAAAGTAGTTAAAGGCAGAAGATTTTTATGTGTAAACTAGTAAAAGTTTAAAGATATTAAAAACATTTTCCTCAAGTGACTATGTGCCAATGGGAAAAATGTTTAATGAATATTCTAATCTGAAATTTATATCTTCAGTGATTCAGGCTGCAAGCATGGGGTTTTTTTCCTGAGAGATGTTGTAAAGTACCAGAAGTATCTATCGAACTCTGGTCTCTGGGCAGCCCTAAGAGCAGGTTTTTTTCCAGTTTTATAACAGTAATTGAAGACAGTGGAGTTAAATTGCAGCAAAATGAGTAAAGTAGAAATGAATCATGGACCTTGTCTCTATGGGAGAAGAAAGAGAAGACTGTGTTAGAAACGGAAGGCATAATTTTTCCCACACTTTCCACCGGTACGTGTGGAGTTTTGGCGGATTTTAGGTACATTAAAGGATTTCCACACAAGAAACCCATGCTCCTTAAAGACTGGCTGCTCTTTAAAATTTACAGAGGACACAAGTCCTCTTCAGCATTAATTTGGAATTTTTCATAAAAGCTAAAAAGACTGCTTTTTTTCATTGTCAGCGAGCATTTCTGTGGCAGAAACTCAGGGTTTCTATTAGAGCATCTCTGTGATAGCAGAATTTTGCACATTTAAGACACTGAACCAACTGCTGAAATAGCATATAACCAGTAAAATAAAGTACATCCATGGGAGCTAAATAGTAATTTGAACACCTGTGTTGAGCTATCCTATTTCTGTACATAAACATGTGTGTTAAAATAAAGAAGGGGGGGGAGAGAATCCAGAGGTATTTGACCTTCTGTTAGTTTTTGCACTCTATTTTTTGTGAATATACAATTTAATATAACGCTGTTTCACTGTAGTTTGGATAACAATGTGGGCCAAGTACTTCTGGAATCTTTCTTTTCGTTCTTGAAAATTAAATCTGGAAAGAATACTTAGTATTTAGGATTGAAAGATCAGGCAGTTAAAGATTGCGTTGTTCCAGCTGCTGGGAATAGTTATATGGTATTGGATTTATTGTATGCATTCTGTGTTTTCCACTATTCTTTTCTCATTAAAGTACAAATGTCACCTTGTTACTCTTCATTTGTGGTGGAAAACAACAGCAATTCATGTGCCAGGTAGTGTATAGGAGCAACAACATGGCTGAGTAGCAGTTACTGGAGTAGGCTCCACTTCTGATATTTCTCATCCAGAACATCTCCTTTCACCTTGTATGAATGCTGTTAAAACATGCAGGGTGAAATTTCTTTCTTCCTACACACAGACGGAGTTGTCATGTGTGCTTTGGTAGACCTACTCAGATATTTGAAAATCCAGCCCAACCAAATCCATCGGAGGGCTGCATGAAGGCAGACAGATTGGAGCAGTACTTACAGCCTGTGCCGATTGCTAGGGCTTTGAGTTGAATAGCAAGATGCTTTTCCTCTGACCTGTGTTAATTCCTCATCACACACATTCCTCATCAGGTGGGAAGTAAAGGCGGTGGCTGAGTCTGTGTGGAGGATTGATGGGCAAGGACCGGGTGCCAGAATGATGTCACCCTTCAATATATGTAACGACCAGTGTAATTCATCAGTCATTTTAAGTCAGCCAGTGAAGTCATTTCTCTTGCCAAGAATTCGCAAGCTTGCACCATTAAATTTTATAATGAGTAGAAAACATAAGGCCAGACTTTTTTTTTTTCTCTCATAATTTTATTCACTTATCAATATGAGCAAATGTGGTAAGTGTGCCAGCTACGTGGGTAGAACAGTTTATAAATACAGTGGTAATAATTGCTGGCTAATTGGATCATTGTTTCCTATTTTATAAATATCCTAGACTTGGAAGGAGTAGATTTTAATTGGTATATGTTGGGGGAACTCATCCTCCTTTTAAAGGAAAAAAAAAATCCTTAATTAATAATCAGGGGAAATGGAGAAACGTATTTTTGTTCTGCTTGACAACTGGTATGCTTTTTCCTGTAATTTGATCTGGCGGTGGGAATTAAGCGTGGAGTCCTGCTTTGAAAGGGTTCCGGAGCCCCTGTTAATAACCTCACCGAATTAGGAACAGTCAATTTCCACACCAAAAGAGGTTGTTGTTTTTTGGGGGTTTTTTTTAGTATTAGCCATCAGGAATGTTACCTGCTAGTATCTTCCCTTGGTACCCTCCTCCTTCCCACCCTTCTCCTCTTTGCTGTGCTGTGGGAAAGCAGCTCCTGCCAGTGATGAGGCGCTGCTGGCTGGTGAGTTGGCAGCTGGGAGCCGAAACCCGCATCCGTGGGACAGTGACCGACCAGGGAAGCCTTTCCCTCGCCCAGCCCCATCCCTGGCCCCTGCCCTGCTGTGGTAGACACCAGACAGCTAGAGCTGGGAAGGTGCTACTGAAACATCAGGGTTTGAGCCGTGGGGGAAAAGCACAGGTAACTGGTTGGGCGCTAAACTTTCCCCCTTTTTGTTAAATTGTGGGGGGCAGCGTATCATGCAGCCACAGAGCCCTGTCGGCATGGTCCAGTTGCTGCATTGAGGGCAGAGGAGCAAGGCTGTAGCCATCCAGGAAGCGATTGGGTTTGATTGTAAGCATCTTTCCTCTGTAGAAGGCTATCTGTGAGCTAAAAATCGTCACCTTCACCTTCCCAGAAAAAGAAAGAGGCATCGCTGACTGCAGATTCAAAGCATTCCTGGTTTCCTACAGTGCCATAATCTCCACATAGATTTACCAGTCCACAAATAGTCAGTGCATACTAGAAAGGAAGTTTAGCAAAAGATCTTTTTTGTTTCATGTATCTTAACATTTTTTTTTTAAAAAACAGTTATCATAATTGTGGCTTTTATGATGCTTTTATTCATCATAACTTACAGGTTTGAATGGCATATAAAAGATACTAATTTTAATGATACACATCTCATTTTCTTTCAGCGAGCATTAAATAGAAAAAAAATGTCTGCAACTGAATTCAGCAATAAGGAAAACTCTGAATCAAGCACTGAGCATGATAAAGAAAATTCCTTTATCAAAACTGAACCAAGAAGAGTTAAAATATTTGATGGAGGGCAAGTATTGTACTTTGTATATTAGATATTGTTGGGAAGATATTTTTTCCTTGATTCTAGACTCTGCAGAGATGTTGCTTCCTGTTTGATTTATTTTAAATAACAGTTCCCATACTGTGATCTCTGGATGTTGGTTTATGTTTCCAGGAAAAATGGAAAGTCATCAGAAGTATGGAGCCATGAGAGTTATGAGGGGGGTGGGTGGTGGGTAATGAAATAAGGAACAGTAGGTGGTGCAATTCTTTTGTTTTTTCCCAAAGGACAAACATTAATCAGCAGTAAAGGCAGCTAGATACAGCCGTAGATGTAATTTCTCTTCCTGTATTTCTCTTACATGATAAATAATACCTGTTCTGCAATAAGGTTGTGTAACTGTAGCCAGAGAGGATATAGTCCAGGGGTGAAGCTGCAGACTGCGGTACAGTCTCTGTCTGGCAGTCCGCTGTGGCATACACAGGCTGGAGAACTCCTGATTTGAGAAGTGCCATGGAAATACTTCCTGAGAGCTCTCATCCAGTCAGTCACTGTAAGACTTGAAATCAGTTGCCTGATATGAAGAACAGTTGCTTTAGTCACAGGGTTGTGCTGTGTACAACATCTTACAAACCAGATTTTTTTAGTAGAAAAGTGCCAGTCACACTTCTAAAAATTTTGAGACCAAATGGTGCATGTTTTATTATTCTTGTAATTGGCGGTGGGCTCTAGGGCTTTCCATTTATTGGTTCCTGGTATGAATCCAGTATAGGCCAGCAGTTAAGCCATCATCAGCTGCCCAGGTAAAACATTGCTACGTGTCTCTGCTCGGATCCAAACGTTGCAGGGACCAGGTCACAAAAGCTAAGCGCAACCTCTGGTGTCTGTGAGTGGAGATATGAAGGGTGTAATTGAATCTCAATGACTTTTTCCATCTAGAGACCATCCCGGTAGGCTGAGCCCAGAGCACAGTGATAGGCAGTTTTAAAGACTTTCCCATAACTAATGTTCCTTTCCTGCATCCAATGCAGAGACTCAAAGATGCTCTTTTAAAGCTTCCTCTTGCCCAAACTTACTCCCAAGAACTGACACTTTTTAAATGTGTGTTCCTTTGTAGCAAAAAAGGAAATTTGAAATATTTAAATGCTTAGTATCAAATGGTACCTTTATTAAAAATCACAGGCCATTATTCCCTGAACAAGTCCATGAATACCTAGTGAAAAATCTAGACATGATTTTAACAAATAAATGCAAAAGTTGAGCAGAAAAAGAGCATGATTGGTTTTGTCAGTCATTCACTTTCATCTATTATATTACTTCTAAAATTTGGATAGATTAGGGTTTCTAACTAGAATTATTTTGCCATTACAACTAATTGCATTACTCTTATGCTACTGTTACTAGGTACAAGTCAAATGAAGACTATGTGTATGTTCGGGGGAGAGGAAGAGGAAAGTATATCTGTGAAGAATGTGGAATACGTTGCAAGAAACCCAGCATGCTGAAGAAGCATATTCGCACTCATACAGATGTCCGTCCTTACCACTGCAATTACTGCAACTTTTCTTTCAAAACTAAAGGTAGGGGTACTTTTCTGTGTACATTTTCCCCCTTTTTTTCCTTCGACTTTAAAGTATAATTCTTCTCACATTTGGGGGTTCATAAGATAAAGAAGTTGCCTCTCCATGGAGTTTTTCTGTCTAATGCTTCAAGTATTTGTAGTTTCTGATTTCCTTCCTTTCCTTTGTCTTCTGTATGTTTATTCAGATAAACACATCTTTGTATGAATGAACTGCATGGCACGTCACGGTGGGTGAGAAATTGGAGTGGAAGAGGGAAGTCCTATGAAAGTTAGGTGAAGACAAGTGAGCTGCTTAGCTACTCATCCTAGATTGGGACAGGAACACAGAATTTTAAGTCCCTAGCAGTGATCTTTTGGAAGCATGACATTGACATATATTGTACTTCTATCAGCACTCAACTAATTGCTCTGGGAAAAAAACTGGCCTTTGTTAAATTACTATATTAAATGGGTTTTTATACCCTTGAAGTACGAGGTTCACTTTCTCCTTGACCTCCTAAGGACCCAGAGATGGACCCCTACTTTTTAAAGCCTGTTTACACCAGATACTTAAATGCATCCTAGTTTAAGCAGGCAGTATATTAAACAGTGGTAGATCCAGGACTCAAAATAAGAGAAACAGACAGGAAGAGTTCACAGCCAAAATACTTTCAGTGAAAAAATTCTAAGCAATAAAATTCTTCTTGGCTTTGAACATCATTTAGCAATAATTCCCCCCAGCTGTAACCTCAGAAACATTTGGTTTTAGGGGGTTCAAAACTGCTCAGCAGTTGGGTGGAAAACTTCCAAGAAATAACGCAGTGCTGCAGAACGTGGGATGGATAGTCATGTCAAATGTGTCAAAACTGCTGCATCCTGACACACTGGGTCATCATGCTGCCTTTCAGATGAAATGCCAGAGTGTGAACCCAGTAAACTGTGATGATGTTTTTTGCAGAGTAGGCATGCTGGCCAAGTTCAAGTAATTAAGTTCTGCCCATTTGAAATTCTCCCTGGTTTCAGTTGTAGCAGAGACTTTTACTGGCTTCCTCATCTGCAGTTGCTATGCCCGGCTGTTGGCATTGCTGCTGGCAGAGTCATTCACGCAGTTGGGTGCTCGATGTTTGGTAAACCACCCTTCATGACAGGACAGTGTAGCCAGTAGCTTCATGCAGTATGGAAAGCCAGGATATTTGCTGTTTGTGAGACAATATAGTCATGTAGCTTCATAACAATTATTTTAAAACCTGGGGTGAATTACTATCTTCGTTTCAAAGCAGGAACAAGGTACTCCATAGCCATAGAAGAGTCACCATTTCAACCAGTAAAATTTCTGCCATTGAAATACCTCAAAGAAACATTTTTTTGAGAGACAATGAGTTTTAAGTATAAAACGAGCAGTTACTTCTAATAACATACATTTCGCAAACACAGTCATTTACGGATCCATGTCTACTCTTAACCTTTTCTTGATGATATTTGCCATATTTTCTTTTGAAAGGAGGAGAGAGCGTTCTGTGGGGCCTCTCAGCAGTTAAGCATTCACTTTTGAGATTCAGATCAAATAAGTTCATGCTCTGATTTTGAATAAAATTAATCTGTTTGTTTAGGTCGGCAGTGAAAATGATTACACTAAAAATGGAATCCATCAAATACTAAAAGAGTGCAAGATATGAACTTTAGTTTCATGCAGTAGTTTTCTGTCAACCTGACTTTGAAGGCTGAATCAACCTTTTTTATACTTTACCATAAACAAATGGGGGATCTTTTATACCAGTGCAAAATACATCGTCATCTGGGATTTCCACCCTATTCTATTTTATGTCAGTAAAGAACTTCATGAAATGTAACCAGAGAGCTAGTAGCATTCTGGATGGTGAACATGCTGCAGCTTGCATTGAGGGGCAAGGTTCTGTCAAGTGTGAAATCAAATTACACAGGTGGTTTATAAAAGTAGCTGAATAAGATAGACTTATTGAACATATATTTGTATACATTTGTATAGTCACAGAGCAGTTAATTTTTTTTCAATTTTTCTTAAGGTAATTTAACAAAACATATGAAGTCAAAGGCACATAGCAAGAAATGCATGGATTTGGGAGTCTCGGTAGGCTTAATAGATGACCAGGATGGAGAGGAAGAATTTGGTAAGAAATTAAAATCTTCTTTCTTTACTGCATTTTTGTATTTATTTTGTCATCCCAGTTTCTTACCTTTTCCAGAGCTTTTAAATTATTGTACAGGGGAAAGATACAGAGATAAAAATCTTAGAAGCTAGTCCAAAGGAGTGAGAAATACTGGGAAAACTCACCAAAAGAAATTACAAGCATATGCTAATGATAAATTGCTGCTGAATTTTTTGCAAAGTGTTATGCAGTTTAACTTGTATCAGTTTCACAGATAAATATGACAAGATTGAAAATACCAAAAAAGCCAGCTGTTTGCCTAGAAAAAAGTGGTCAAATGTAGTGCTTCTTTGAAAATAGTTGTTCATGAAATTGTCAGTTTTGAGATGCACATTTCATAAAAATTACATCACTAGCATGCCACTCAAATCACAAATATGTTGCTTAGTGCTTAGCCAAGGAGGGTAATCATCTTCGAGTGCAGAGTTCTGTCGTCCTCCACAAATAATTGGGCATAAATCAGCAGATAGATATAATTTAGAAATTATGAACATTATTCATCTTGACCTGTTCTACTTCTCCATTAGTGATGAGAGCGTTATCAAAATGAATATATTTGCTAATGGGAATTCTGCACTTTCTGCATCCCAAGACAGCTCTGCTGGAGAGGAGATGGGATTGAGGACAGTCAAAGAGGGCCAAACCATGTTCATATGGATTTTGCTCAACATGATAAGAAAGATGTAGCTGCACCAGACAGAGTGAGATGGAAAACAGGATTGTGCGTTGGGACTGCTTTGGATCTTGGCATGTCTCAGCGCAGTGGTGGCAATTTCTTCTTCCTCCTGTTTCTCAGCAGGGAGATGTATCGTGTTGCCTTGCCTTGTTGTATTTTTCTTCTTTCAGCAGAATCGTTTATTAGATTGCGGGTGAGGTTTTGAGAAAGTAAAGCAGTGGGGATCTTTATTTAAACAGTAAAGGGCAAGCAAGATGAATGCACTTGCTCCCATATGACAACGGCTAGCAGAATAAGCGAATCAGTTTGAATCTAATTCTAAATAATGCTGGGAATATGACTCAGCTGGTATGATTCAGTGGTGCGCTAGGTACAAAGAAACCTGCATTTTCCCTTTTTTGGCATTCTTCAATATATTCTTTTTTGGTAAGCTAAAAACATGTCACCCTTTGCAATTTGAGATACCAAATAAATAACACAGAAGATAAGCGGCAGTACAAATTACTGTCCTTTTCTCCCAGAGGAACAGTTTTCATTAACATTTTTAGCCTTCACATGACAGAAAAATCATCGCAACTTTTTTAAGCAATGTTCTGTATCTTTTGGCATTTTATTTAGCTTGACAAACTACTGCTGAACAGGTCTTTCCATTTACTAGGATCTGAAAATATTTTATTGATCTATAAATTGATATTCCAAATTGCATACATTAAAAACTGCATTTGTGGTTATAATGTAATGGGAAATGTTTCAAATGTTAATAGTTATCAGTAACACCCAGTGGAAGTAAGACATGTCAAACATTTGTTGAAAGATTGCTTTTCTTTGGCTCTAAGACTATTTAATTGAGAGAGAGAGAGACTCTTTTTACATACCATGTACAGGTGTGTGTAATAATATAATAAATATATATTCCCTGAAATACGTTCCTTGTTTCAGCACAGTAATTACTTAATAAAATAAATACTCTATTTTGGAAAAGGGGCAAGACAAACATTCAACAGGATTTGCTCTATAATCCATGAAATTTTTCCAGAAATTTAATTTTAAGACCTCAGTGTTCTGGGGTTTGGTTGTTGTTGGGGGTTTTATTTTATTTTTCAGAATCTTTCTTTAACTAAGAACCCCAAAGCAAAAACCAACTTGGTGATAAAATCCCTACCTTTTCTAAATGATCTGGCTCAGGTACTCGTAGCAAAACCAGCTGTGCACGCCAGAGCTCAGCACAAGTCCCATCCAAGAAGCAGGTTAATAAAGCCCGTGATAAACGCGTGTTTGCTGCAGCCAAACCAGTCTAGCCTCTCCAGTTGCTGCGTAACGCAGGGCATTTACAATTATCCATGTAAATTCAGTGAGTGACTGTACACTTGAAAAGGGTGATTTCATCTCTCAGCTCACCTCTCCTCGCTTGAAGGTATTTCTCGAGATAGTTCAAAAACTTGCTTGTTAGCCCATTTTTAAGTCAAAGAGTCAGGAGGGAAGTAAAAGGGTGTGAAGTATTTGCTTTTGTAACGTAGGTGGATCTGTTGCCCTCTCCAAAATCCTGTTCATGCTAATATTTTAGCTACCTTTGAATGTGACTGAATTTAGTTTTTTGAGGGGTCTAGGCAGTCTCAGTTAACAAAATTACTTCGACCTCCTCATTGGCTGCCCTTTCCCCAGGGCAGCACAGCCCAGCTCACATTCAGGGCCAGCACCCCTCGTGCCAGGCCTGGGCTCTAGGGACAGCCCTGTCAGCAGCATATCACCCACAAAGCAAAACGTGATGGGCCTTCAGTATTGAGCTGCACTCGTGGCCTTACATCTTTCATCCTTTCACCTCTCCTCCCTCCGACATGCGTTGCTGGTGTGTTTGTGGTGTGTATCCCTTTGGTGCTTTAAAAATCATCATTTTTAAAGGTGTACATTTTTTACTTCGGGAGTTGTGTTGTGGTTAAAAATTGGAGAGTGGTCTGCCCAGTCCCATCTCTTTCTTCAGCTGGAAGTCAATGTGAGATACTGTAGAGGAAGGTGCAGAAAATCTGATAAGAAATAATCATGACCTCAGAAAAAAGATTCCTTCCTCCCCTAGACCTTGTGAAATTGGCCTGTCTCCTGACCCGTAGATTGTCTGTCTGTCTCTAACTAATTTGTTATCCGGACATTTGGAATACTAGTTATGGCTATAAAAATGTCTGCACCTTTGCTTAAAATAACCAAGCTGTATGTCTTCCACCAGATTTTGGATTAGAGAATCAGCCAGAAGTTTAACAAAGGCACCAACCTTTTATTTACTAAGGAATTTGCTGGTTCATGTAGTTTTTTTTAAAGCATAGGCAATTGTGATTATTTGAATATATCATTTTTTAGATTCATACGAGAAGTCAGCTTTGACCTGATAGCAGTTCAGATTAATAGTGCATGCAGATTGAATAAGGAGTGCAAAATTGTGCACAATCCTGAGCTCAGGCACACGCACGCGCACGCACAGAGCCTGTTTTTTCAGTAATCTGAGAAGCTGAAATTTTGTTGTGCTGTAGTGTCTAGGGAAAAACGGAAGAGATGCTCTCTAAGCTGTTTGAGACTATATGTGATTAGAGCTTTTAACATAGCATTCTTTGTATTTGGACTTGTCATCATTTGGGTAATAGTAAATACTTTCTGGCCTGGCTTTGTGTATTCAAAACTGTTCCCTCATCCATTTATCTTTCATCTTCTGCTCTGTGGAATGTTCTTATCACCAAAATGCAGGGTTACAATGTAAGGAATGTTAATATCTGAATTAAATTGTCAGACGAGGTGAACTGTTTAGTGTGACAGACTGCAACTGGGGATATCCTCTTTAGCCACGTTGACCCAACATTATGCTGTGCAGCCTTAAAAACAACAATAATTTGTCTTCGAATTAAAATAGTTAGGAACGTTAAACCTGTAATATTTCAGTGTAAACTAATGTATGAGTTGTATGGTACGCCTGAGTAAACTTGCACAAGATAGTTATTTCATAATTAAATCAGTAGATGGACAGAACTTACTTAAATTTTCTCTGGAGACATTTTATCCCAAAATGTTCATTACCAGTCAAAAGACCTAATTGTAAGTTTCAGATATGTATTTACATATATACACACACACACACACATATATATAAAACCACTTTCACTTTATGCAGTATTAAATAAACCCTTCTAAAGATACAATGGTTCTAAGTTAATTAGCTATATATTACTTATAGTAGATCTTAAGTGAGTTTCCATGGCTCTTCATTAGCTTAATCATGACTCAGCCTGTGTTTTCATTGCACCTACATTTAAGGAGTGAAAATAAATTAAAATCCTTTCAGTAATATCCTCCTTTTGCAAATAGAAGGAAAGGCTGCATCTGTATAGCTTACAAGATTTTTAAATTTTTTTTTTTTTTTTTTTTAATATATCAGTGTCTAGTCTTCACCTAGGTGTATATTAAACATGCTGGAGCCCTACACCTACAGCCTGGGAATAGACTACCTAGTGCTAGGCTTGATATACAATATACAGGTTACTTAAGAAGTCTTAGGTGTAAATAAGTTCTTTAAACAGAGGGTACTCTTTTGGTTAGTTTTACTTTGTTACTTCCCATACTCCTAGGAATGAAAGTCAAAAGCCCACAGTTTTTTCCCCTCGTTTCTTAGGAGGACTGGCTATGACCAGTCTGAATTTAACCCAGTAGATGTCACTGTGAGTCGTGTTTGATGGTGGTGAGCAGTGGACAGTAGCTGAAGCAAGACTGGTATCAGTCAAGTAAATCCTATGAACAGACTTAGAAAGACAAGGAGACAGCAAGTTTGGGTATAGATGCTAGTGTTATTTCACAGTCCTTTGTTTTACTCCTTTAAAAATTTGTTTCAGTGGTTGTGGAACCCCCTAATACAAGACTAATTCAACAGGTGAAAGTCAAGTCTAAGCTTGCAATTATTCAGAAAAATAGGGAGTGCATTGATGACATACAGACCTTACTTTCAAGTTTATGATAATACGATGACATACTAAAAAGTATTTCTGCCTTTATTGCCATTTTCTTGAGTTTGGAGAATATATCATATAGAACAGATGCTTTATGTTTAAACACTTTTATGTAGGTATTAAACCTGAACATATTTCCACAATTTGAGGCAATAAACACAGCTTTGTATTACTCAGATGCTAAAAGCCAATAAATTTAGTAAATTTAAATTTAGATGGGAACAGACCAATGGATACTTAGTAAGCGATGTCTTTCATCTGTATAAGTAGAGCTAATAGCAGTCCTACAGTTACCTACATAACTCTCCATTTGCTTAGGAACGTGTAAAACTTCAAATATGACTGACTTACAAGCCATCAAACTTTATCACTGGATTTGGTGCAGAAATTGCTAACTCTGTAGCAGGGCCTGATAAATCAGGGCATGTGATGGACTAACTGGTGATAATATCACAATTAAAAGCTGTAAATTGAGATTTTGAAGATCCTTGCTTTTAGTACTTTGCAGTACAGTGATAATCAGATGGCCATTGTTAAAACCATGTACAGTAAGGATTCCGGTAGGAGAAACTTAAAGTAAAGAACTTTAAAGTACTCAGGGAGACCTTTTTCAGTTACCTAATTCATAGCATCACAACTGGAAGCAGCAGTGTGTGGACAATTCAGCCCCGGGCACTTCTCTAATGGACATATTAGGATGCTGATAATTCCAAGTTAATGCTGTTGTGCAAAAGAACTTGAAGCTTTTTCTTTCCTGCTTTGGGGTAAAATGTCGGTGTAATAGAGCCCTAGCCAACAAACTCATTAACACCACGAACACAACACAATACAGAGCTGACTAACTGAGGACAGACAGTAAAATAAATGAAAGACTAAGCTGATTTTTGCATATGATTTGGATATGCTTATTTTAAGACATAGGATTAAAACCTCAGTTTTATTAAATATAATTATAAATGGTGTACGAGCAAAATCCTCAATCAAAAGTTGCATCCATGTTTCTGTTATACCTTTATATCCAGCTGTGTCTGATTTTTTCAGAATTCAGGTCTGTAGCCAAAAGTTCCACTTTCCTCTGTCAAGTCCAGGAAGAAGAAAGAGTTTTTCTAAGTGTTTAAAAGAAAAGATTGCAGCAGTTGACAGAGGATGAGAGACATTCCCTACTCTTCCAAAAACAATCTTTATAAAAAGTGGAGGCAGTCTTGAACAGTCTTTCTGTTAAAATGGTGAGAGTTACAAATGTGAAAGAGAAGTAGCTTTCATAAAGCCTTCACTTATTAGTGTGAAACTTTTTTCCTGTTTTATTTAAAAAAAACCAAACAACTGTGAACTTTCATGCCAAAAGTCATTTCCCCATATGCTAGTGGCCTTTAAATTTATGACACATCCTTCATTCTAAAATATCCCACAGTGCTTTACAACCTCATACAAAGTTAAACACAGAAGTCATTTTGTTCCCTTTGGAAATTGAGTCAGTTCTAGTTTTATATATATGTATCAGCTACATAAGCATATGGTTATAATTGTGCATAGTTTAAGATAGGAAGCAAAGAATTAATTTTTCCCCAATTAAAACTGCAAGAGAACTTTAGTAGGCAGCGTACCATTACCAAAATGGATTGGGGCCAATACTACTTGGTCAACAAGACAGTGCTTGGAAAAGAGCCTTTCACCACAAGGAGTGGTCACAGCCTTAGCTTGATGATGCCTCATTCGGAGAAGACCCATAACCTGCCTCCACCAGTTAAAACTCCAGCATCTGATTCTCTCACAACTCCACTGATTTACAGTGATGCTTAACGGGATCATTTATTATGAAAGCTCAGGCACCTCTTGTTTCAGCAAACATGCACGCAGGTATAAAAGCCAGAGCACAGTGTTCCTTTGTGCATTACCAGAGGAAGCAAGTCAGGAATAGTTTTTTTCTCATCTGATGTTTCAAAGCGGTGTGGGAGTGAGGGAACCACATTCATTGCTGTCACCTCGCCTACACTGCAGGCGCTGGCTCCAGGTAACCACACTTAAATAGAAGCTGGCAAATGCACAAAGGGTGGAGGTAAACAGGGAAACAATAGAGGGGAAATGTGTCCTGCATGTAAGGAATCTGTGTCCCACACGTGGTTCCCCTTTCCCTTTTCAGGGCTTTATTCTATAAGGTCAAGATGTATGCAGAAGAATTCTACATAAGCAGCATTTGCTAGTAAATCCTGTAGTATCTTTAACTGTTGATTTTGAAAAAAAGATAGTTTCTTATTATAAATCAGGGCATTGTTTGAGCATATGTTTTCCTTGCTCTACAAATGTGACAAGTCAGTCTAATCACTTCAGGTAGTTCCTCTTGCCAGTGGAGACAGTCATTTGTGATTGACATCAACTTTCATAGAAAATGTGATTCATGTGGAGAGAGGGAGGAAAAAAATAAAAGAAACAGTAGGATTCCCCAGAAGATAGTTACGTGAAGTTGGTAAATAAACCAAAATTAAGAAGGAGTCCAGACTGAAGCCTGAGACTTTGCAATGCGCCATGCATTATTTAAAGAGTTGCAGGAAATGCATGGGTCACCCTTTAGATGTAACACATGGCAGAGTCCTTGAGATCTGTTACAGAGGCATTGAGGGAAGGTATTTCCATTCAGAAAGGTAACATATATAGAGCTTCTAACATTTTAGATTTATTTGCTTTGCAAATCAGTGATGAAGAATCACTCTTTGTGTGAGAGTTTGTGTGACAGAAGGATAGAGGAGGACAAAAAAAAAGTTGAATAAGTCTATGTGGTTTTCTTAATAATATTTTTAACAATCCTACTTGCTGTATTTTTGGAATGGGCCTTACTGAATTAATTTTTCCACTAAAATGTATTTTCTTTGTTGAACATCTTTGTCAGTAGATGAGAATTATAAATTAAGAGTATTTAAAATTCTAAAAAATATTTTTGTTAGCATCGTTCCAATGACCTCAAAGATTTAGGGTATTTTTAATAACATTTCAGTTTCATGCCTGCTGTAGTAAATGTAGAAAATCTATAGTTTCCATATTTAGTTAATGTACAAATTACTGTGTAGGCAAAGAGGGGCAAAGTCATTACAGAGGGAGTTTTTCAAAGAAGCTATTAGTCTTGTTCCTAATTGCACTGCTCATTTTAAACCATAAAGGCTTATAATGGCAGGTAACTTATTGAGAGGTAGCTCAAATAAACCCATTTATTCTACCTGGAGTTCAAGAGGCTTATTTTGGTTTTGGTAATGTAGCAGCTAAAGCATTGGTAGCACATTCAAATTCTTTCAAGGGTCTGGGGTTTTTTTCAGAATCGATTATTTTGCTCGTAAGTTGCCATGTGGATTTCCTAAGAACAGGATCTCTGAGATTTTAACTAACCAGTCTTCATTGGTTTTGCAGATCCAAATGATTTTTACACTGATATTTTTTTTGGAGAGCTCAGCAGACAGACCTTTAATTGAATATGAAATATTAGTGCATTCAAAGCATTTTGTCTTTTATAAAATATGATCCCAGACAGTCTGGCTTGGAATCAGGTACAGCAGATTGGATTTTCTGTCTCTTTATTAAAGATGATTCTTTCTTTCCAAGTTACGATATAAAAGAAGGTGAAAAGCTGCAGTGGAGCTGTATTTTGTAGAGAAATTCACCACTAGGCTGCAGTTTGGCTTTAAGACATGAAGTCGGGGGGGGGGTTCTTCATGTGAGCAAAGTTTCATGCATAGTTAAGTTTTGATAGGATTAGGGCTTTCTTGCTCCTAGGACATCTTGGGTGATTTGTTAATAAACCTTTCAAAACATTAGCAAAGTGAAGAAATCTGTTAAGGTCTAATTTTGGTCTCTTTTTGCCTGTTAACAAGACAGATTTCTGACTAACAGCCTCCAGTCTTTCTGTTTGCATCCTTCAAAAACCTTTACAGCAGTGATTCATATTAGGTACAAGGACACCCACTTATGAGTCAGAACCAGCTAGAGAATATCCCATCGCTAAGGTTGGCAGACCAGCTTCATATGTCGTCACTGGGGGTTTAATGAACCGCGAATCTGCTCGCTTCTCCCCAAGCGAAAGAGTGAAGAGTGACTTTGAGCAAATGGTTATAAATGGCTTAAAAGAAAACATCCAAATCCAGAAGGTTGAAACCAACATGAAAACAGAAAATGAAAGATTATTTAGCTATATAATTAAATACATATGCTGGAAAATACAAACAAAACTGAAAGTCTTCCCTTTGCTTTGATGCAATAAGGTGTGACTGAAAAATGCACGTGCTATGTGGTTTCTCGGTGGTTTTAATTACTTCCTCCCACCTCATTCCCAGTCAGTTAGGGACCTTCACTGGCTTACCTTCTACTTCCCACTTTTGCAGGTGAGAAGCAAAGATTCGGCTACGACCGGTCGGGATATGATGTGGAGGAGTCTGATGGTGCGGATGAAGATGAAAATGACAATGAAGATGATGATGAAGACAGCCAGGCTGAGTCAGTCCTATCCACCACCCCCTCAGTGACAGCCAGCCCCCAGCATCACCCCTCTCGACACAGCCTGCAAGATGCTGCCAGCACTGATGAAGACATCAGACTTCCAGACTGTTTTGCCGGGGTTCACACAGACTCTATGGATGGTCTGCCAAAAGCTCTGCTGACGAAGATGACGGTCCTTAGCACGGTGCAGTCGGTTAGCAGGACCTCCAAGTCACCAGCAGAATTCACCCATCAGGAAGCACATGAGGATAAAGCCCAGGAGAGAGGAGCAGGTCCCCGTGGTGCTAGTGCAGCACTGGTGGACGTCGCTCCTACATCTCCAGGTCGCCAGATGTCTGTGGATTACCCCGATCCAGAAGCGGCCTTGGGCCGCTCCTTAATATCAACTGCAACTCTTACAAAGGTAGGAGTGTCTGACTCTGGGGGAAGAGAGCGGGATTTTAAATCCTCCTTTTAAAGATCTTTTGGAGATTTTTCAAAGGTCAAAATGTTTGCCTTTCCCTTCATTCTTAGAGTTGTTGGCTGATGAGTCTTTTAAGAAGAGTTGAAAGTAATTGGGGCACAGATGTGTAGGACTCTAGAAACAACAATGTTGTAGTAGCAATGCTTTTCAAATTCTTAGTTTTGACTGTATTCTCCCTGAAAGGACTCATTGTAATATGGTCATTTCAGCTGAAGTTTGGAGCTGCTACATTGTATTACAAATAAGAAGGGATATAGCAGATATGTAGAGTGAACATATGGTGGTGGTTATGAAGTTTTCAGAAGAAAGCGATAGAATTCAGAAGTCATTTCACTCTGAAATATGATGATAGAATCATTGGTAATTCCCAAGGAAATTAATCTAGTCCCAAAGGGGGGTTTTTAATCACTATAAAAAAATGTGCAGTTGCTTATCTCTCCCCCGAATATGCTTAGTAGCAGAATTAGAAAGAGCACCAGATGTTCAAGGAAACTAGAAGATTGCCCTTGCACAATAACAAAAGGAGAGATGAGCGCAGAACTGAGACCTGAGTTCCCAGCACTCTCAGTTTTTCTCCAGGCTGAAAGAACCTTTTAATCAGAGAAGGATCAATTTTGCCCATGCCTATTCTAGACACACAGCTCTTCAGAGCAGTGTGCAGAAAGATGAGGTCAGTCTGCGTGCAGGTCTGCAGAAGCATTCACTAATTTTGGCGACTGCTGTCTTTAAAACTCTGTGGAGGAAATCACAGAGGGGAACTGGCAGGTGTTAAGCCTTTTATAATTCAGCAATATTTTAATGGACTTTAATGGGGATGGTACAAGTCATGTACCTGACTGACCCTAAGGCTAGCTCTTGAAAGTTTTGAATTCTTACTACAGACTGTGAAGGATTAGATCTTTCCAGATAACACTCAGAAAAGTGTGATGCAAAGCATATTTTATTGCTGCCTTCTCTGTGAAGAATGCAGTATTTACAAATTGTATATGCATGCAGTTGTAGAAAAATAAGCAGCAGGAAATTTTCAAAAGCATAAACAGTAAGTAAAAATTTCATTCTGGTTTAAGTACTTACTGGCTTGTTTTTGTCCTTGAAAATCTGTACTACTGGATTTATTTTTTGACAAAATTTAAAGAGAAACCGTCAAAAAATATTGCTGCATTTCATTGTTTGACAAAGGTTCATTCTTGCTTGTAAGAACTGTGAGTCCATGTGGTAAATGTGAATTGGAGCAATTTTGTAATATGTCAGGGAATAAAATGTAGTGGTCTGTGATCATTGTATATACCTGCCACAAAAGGGGTAAGATCTTAATATTTGGATTTTGGGTTTCGTTTGTTGCCAATAGATAGTAGAAGGGCATTTGACTGAGTTTACTCCCTCATCGAACAGAACCATTGAAGCCTCAAGATAATATTCATATAATTAAAAATGTTGAACGGTCTTAATTAATATAGCTTTAATAATTGTCTACATTAACATATATGTTTTTAAAAAGCATGTAAGTAATACAAGGCAGTAATTCCTTTCCAGACCTACCTCCTCCTTTCGCAGACCAAAAGAATTGGCAGCTGTGTGCCTGATGGTTAATCTACAGTCTGTTTCTATTGTGAATGGTTGTGGATCCCACTACTTGCAGTTGAGACCAGGGGTCAAGCCAGCTTAGGAGGGCTGTTGTATGTTCCTTCAAAAGCATCCATACCAGTTTATCAGGATTTCTTGTGAGGTGTCAGACAGGACTTAATTCTGAGAAAGATGTTGGCTTCATTCTCACACCCATCTTCCCTTTTAGACTGGTCAGCACTGTGTAGTCAGTAAATCACATTCTCCTTTAACGAGTACATTTCCTACCAGCAGTTTTCAAAAGCATTTCTGTTAGTGCTTCGTTTTTGTGCCTGCTCTAGAGATTTCTTGAGAGTTTGGTCAAAACTACAGAATTACCATTTAGGACTATATAAACTAGATAATGTTGTGCCATGTGTTATGAATATGCCTAAAACTAGAAGATACTGCAAGATTACAATTGCACTTTTAAGATTCTTGGTTTAGAAGTTTTTAGGAAAGGAGTTGCCAGCCTTGGTTGGTAACACAGGCTATATGAAAAGAAAAGGGATCATATAAATAAAATTATTGGTCCAGGTTTGAGCACCAAATCACAGTAAGCTGAGGCAGCAGTGGGATGTGGGTACTATGTCTCTCTCTGGTATCTGCCCATCACCTCCAGTTCTGTGGGCACTGTAGTTGTCATCCACCTCTTGTTATTGCTTATTGCTCATCTTCCACATTAGAAGCACCTACAGACAAATGTGCTGCGATGCTGCCTCTGCCTGCCAGAGGCTGTAAGGGCTCCAGGATAGCGTCAAAACTGCCAGCTTATGCTGATTTAACCTATTTGCCTGAGGTGATTTCCACAGAAAACAGTTCTGCAAAGCTGTCTTGCTCCTTAAAAAAAACATACAAAGGATATTCAGCAATATTTTCAAGTACTAGTGTTCAGGGAGAAATTAGCCAGGGTAATTAGGAGGGGAAAATTCAATTAGTGGGTGAGGAAGGAGCTGGAAGAAGAAAGAAAGGAAATTAGTTCATTGTTCAAGCAGGGCAGTATACACTGTGAACCAGTTTGTTGTTGTTTTTTCTTAAAAGGGAGTGTGGGAAGCACTCCTGGCTACCTTGCGTTTTCATTTCGCTCAAGGATAGCAGTGGCCGCCGCGTTAACATGCCTGTGTTGTTCCTTCCCAGAGCACGCCTTCTGTCAGCTCTCCCTCCCCACCAGTGGACCGCAGCATGCAGACGACAGCACCGCCACCCTATGCCGAAATCCCAGAGGAGAAGCTGGCCGGGTGCCCGCAGCGCGCCGCCGAGCCGAGTGCTCCCCAGACTCACCTCTTCAGCCACCTCCCCCTGCACTCGCAGCGGCAAGCCAAGGCACCCTACGGCACGGTACCGGTGGGGGGGATTCAGGTGGTCCCCGCCGGCCTGGCCACCTACTCCACCTTCGTTCCCATCCAGGCGGGGCCGGTGCAGCTCACCATCCCTGCCGTCAGCGTGATTCACAGAACTACCAGCGCCCTCGGGGAGACGGGCAGCACGGCCGCCGGTGCCACTGCAAATCCCATGGGAGTCGCCGAGGTGAACAGCGTCGTGCCGTGCATTCCCATAGGCCAGGTGAGCGTGCCGGGCATCCAGGGACTCGGCACGCCTGGCCTGCAGCCTCTGCCGCCGCTGGGCATGGAGACGGTGAACATCTTGGGCCTGGCAAACACAAACATCGCCCCGCAGATGCGCCCTTCGGGAATTACCCTGAATGCCGTGGGCCTCCAGGTTTTGACCGCCGGCGCGGCCCCGCAGGGCAACCCCAGCCCGCAGGCCCACATTCCCGGCTTGCAGATACTGAACATCGCCCTGCCGACCCTCATCCCTTCCGTCAGCCCCGTCGGCGCCGAGGGGCCAGGAGCCTCGGAGGTGCCCACCTCGAGCGGCAAGGCCTGCGAGGCTCAGCCGGAGCCGGCTCCTGTCAGCTTCCCTGCGGCTGAGGTCAGCCAGGCCAGCAGGGCCGCTTCTCCTCAGGCAGCGGCCGGCGGCCAGCGGTACGGTGGGAAGAGCCATGCCGAGCCCGCCCCGCTGACCGACTACGAGCGACCCAACGGTCCGGGGAAAGCAGATCCCGAAAAAACTGACCTCGCAAACCCCTCCAAGCCAAAGCGCGACATCCCTTCCCTCCAGGCGAGGAGGGCTACCCCAGCAGAGTCCCGCTCCAAGGCGAATTCCGACGCATTAACCAAGTCCCCGGTCCACCGAACTGTCTCCCCGGACAGACAGGTACACAGGCCAGCCGCCTTGCCCCGGCGGCAAAACACGGTGCAGTTTAGCGATGGCAGCAGTGACGATGAGGATAGACTTGTAATAGCAACCTAGTTTTTGTTTTTCATTGTGTTTTTATTTTTTTGGGGTTTTTTTATAACACTTACAGGTTTCTTTGCAAACCTTCCTTTCCTTAAAGCACATTTTTCTGACACAAACCCATTACTAATCTTCGTGCAATCATGAACTCTTGACCAATAATTGTTGTTTCTTGTCAGCTCCAGCCATTTTTGTACATGTTGTATAGACGATTGTGCCTTTTTGGAGTTTTATGTTTAGAAACCTGTACAGATTGTTGAATATATATATATAAAATATATATATATAAAATATGTATATTAAAACCAGGTAGTTGCTTGTGTTTAGTAAGTAAACATCCTATGTCAGATAAATAAAGGATTAAATTATATGTTGCACTGTTAAATGTAAATTTTTATGGCTGTGGGACAAAGTTTCTGTGTACAGATCTAGTATGTAAAACTCCATATTTATTGTATCCATATTAGTCTTGGAAAAGGGTCTGTCCATCTTTCTTGTGTAAGACGGTAGCTTTACACTCAAAAGAGAAATACAGTATCTGTGTTATGAAATATTACAGTAAAATTTTGTTTACTGACTTTACCATTGCTTATGTTGTGCCTTCTTGATGCAGCCCGGTAGTTGGAGAGGTGCTTGACTCGTCCCTTTTAATACCCTTCCAGCTGCGTTCAGCTTGAAAGGATCTGGTGGTGGTGAGTGCCCCCGTGGTTTCACCTGCCACGAGAGGGAGAGTATGCTCTGCAGGCTTCCTTGGAGCAAAACCTTCCATTTCAAAACATCCAGTGATGGCAAAGCAGGGAGTCCTTCAGCTTTTTGTAGAGTGAGCAACCATCCACCTCGTGGTTTTAACACTTCCCAACTAAAATTTGAAGACTTCCCTGAGGGAAAATAGCAAAAGGGTCAAGATGAAGTATTTTTTTATTTGTAATCTTGAACTATAAAACCACTTTTTATTGACATTAAAATGTTGTTACACAAGAAAGGAATAATTCTTTGTGTGTTCTTAATTGCACCATCTGCCATACAGTTGGCGAAAATGCCACTGCTGTAATGAGGATTTGGCATTACCAATTACCATCAACTTCGTATGACACTGCATTTCAGGTGATTTCCATTTACAGGTAGACAAAGCCCATTTCTCCCTAAATATGGCTTTGTCTTACTCATGCAGGGTCAAAAAAGGGGCTAGAGGCCTTACACATACAACTAATGTGCCCTTATATGAACAAACTCATCATTATGGGCATACAAGACATGGATAGATCCCAGAATTATGAAATTTATTAAAATTCTGTTTGCACATAGTAAAAACAATTTAAAGTTGCCAATAAATTTTTTAAGGGGTTCAGCTACTGTAAGAGACAAGTCTCACATGTTACAGGGCTACACATTCCCGAGAGTTTCAAATTGACCTGGGATGCGTGCTGTAATTTTAAAATAGAGTTGGTTTTCTGCTGTGTGCTTGTATCACATTCTTGCAGAATTTTATCAAACCATTTTAACAATGAAATTCCAGTAGAAAACCGGAAGATGTAAATTAAAAGCATGATCACCTCTATGGAAATAACAGGGATGAGCGCATATAAAACAACTGGAAGTAACGGGTGGGAAGCAAATCTTGAAAAAATACCAGGAGTGAACCTGAATGTGAGCTGGGCTGCGTTGTTCACAGATTAACTCCTGTACCCAACTCAGAGAAGTAATTCATACCTTGTACTGCTCGTATTCAAGAACAGCCCTATCCTAGATCCATTTTTAACTGTACATTGGCTTTTGTACTATACTCACATTGTGCTCATTACATTATTCCATTACGGTGTGTTGTAAAACTGTAGGCGATGTTGAGTGAGCTTTATTAACTTTCAGAAAGAGCACTTCACTACCAGAAAATCATTTATATTACTGTGATTATCAGCCAATTGTACTAATCCAGTAATTAGAAACGCACGTACTAGAAAGGAGAAATTACTCCTGGCTCAGCCATGAATGTTGGTGTAATTCCTTACTGTGCAGAGCCTCACTGAGGGCCCGAGCACCCGAACCACAAAGCACTCTCAACTCACATTGAACTTAATGAGAGTTAAGAGTACTTGGCACCCCACTGCGCCGGACTTCAAGTTTGTGAGTGTCTTATGTGCAACCACTGTGTAACACGTCACTGTGCATTCGTATGTTCCTTTTATGAACATGTAGTGATGTCAGTGTCTCTTACATCATTACCATTTATACTGAACATGTGAAATTACCCGAACCAGCTGGAGTTTAAAAAAACACATTGCTGCGTTAAATTTCGAGAGCCTGAAACTTTTGCTAGTGGGGTCAGGTGAAGGTTTATTGTTAATGAACTCAAGAAACTTTGCATTAGTTTCAGCTTCTTTAAAATGGACACTTAGCAGTAAACTAGAACTATGCTATTTAATTTGACCATATTTGTCTACAGCATGCCAAAAAAAAAGATGACTGGATCAAATAGATTTACAGCAAAGTAAAACTTATGTACAAACTTTTGAATGCTATCACAAGTATTACTATTTATCTGAATTTTATAAGGAAGCAGTGAGTAATAAGTTGCTGTTCCATATGGCCCGAAGTCCTGCTTTTGCTAACCATTTAGCAACTCCAGAGATGTAATGTATACACATCTTAAATATTTACTTGACTAGCAATTTGTGATGTGCTCATGTTCTAAGGATTAATTCCAGGAAGTCACTAATTTAAAAGAAAATCCAACCTGGTGAATCAGGTGATCTACATGTGTCTCTTTTCTATTCTAGGTGTTTTAAAGCATCAAGGTCAAAATACGGAAGTGGTATCTTCAAGAATAAGAATGACAAGACAACAGATATGTCATAAAGAGAAATGTTGAGACATGTGTCACTTGGTAAGTCATTAGTAGGACAATAGAGGGAAAGGACCAAGAGAATGGGTACTGTTGGGTAGTGAGCAATCATCACACTTAGCCAGGCAAAGCAAATGAGCATTGTTTGAAGCAGGATCTCCACTAACAATGAAAAAATTAGCAGGTAGTTGCAGATATATCTAACCTTGTTCAAATAGAGTTCGGAGGAAAATCAGAGGAAATCACACCCTTCTAGAAGATAAACGTTTGTGGTCCTGAACATTATACTGTTTCCCTTCCCTTCCCATGTTTCTAAATGGATATTCCTTAAGGTGCCTCTACAACTTGTGCAACATGAAAAAAAAAAAAAACGAACTAGACGCGTGACCAGACCTGAGAGAAGGCTAAAGTCCGTACCTCTCCTCTGTTAGTGTCTATCATTTTCATTTTAATCATGCGTGTAACCAACATCTATATTATACGTGTGTCCTGCATCAGCACAAGCCTGTCACCACTGTTGACAACTATGTTTTCATTCTGAATTAATTATTTTTATTTTAAATTGTGTTGTATCTTTATTCTCTTGTCTAGAGTCATTAGTGGTGGAACAATTGCCCTCTTCTCGCCACAAGGTTCCTTCTGTTCAAGTCAGTAGAAAACACCTCGAGAGACTTGCCAGTGCAGGATTAGGCTGCATTTCAGATAGTATAAATTATCACAGCTGAATTGGGGTAAATAGCACTGTGGCTGTTTACTCAGGGATCAATTTTTAACTGTCAGACACCCTCTGGAAAATCCAGCACAGCTGTTTAAACATTAAAATGCCAGGGCAAGTGTTGCTCCTCAGTGCACCCGGGCAGTCTGGCATCTTTCACACAACCTCACTGAGGGGATGCAAGCAGGTGCTAGCTACAGGCTGGGTACAAATGCAGCCACAGTAAGGACGTTGCATGGTCAACTTCCATGAGACCCATGCAGATGCTTCCCTGTCATCTGCCAAAAGCCTTCACTAGAAAAAGAATCAACCAGTAGCCTGTAGCTCTTCTCTTTCAACTCAGACCTCAATTGATTTCTCACTGCAATCCATGATGTTTGCTGGTGATGTGGGTATCTGATTTTGAAGACAGCATGTTCCCCTGCTGTTCATATAACAATGGTTTTGGAATGTGGACTCTTACTAAATGTGTCTATGTTCCCCGTTTGGGCTTTAATAAGCTACAGCATGACCTACCTGTCACTTCTTAGGCCAAGACCTAAACCAGAGACAACCACTTTTGCTGTAACGGGCCTCAGATCTCTTGATCTGTAGCATTACATCCCCAGATGCAACTCCCACCTTCTGGGACATAGCTGAAATAAAACAAACTTACTAGGTTCAGGGCTGCCCTGCTCTGCATTGATTACTGCTGCTGTTCACACTTTTGCTCCTTTCACTTCTCAAGTAACTCCCTGTAGCTTCAGATTGCTGTAAATTATACTCTGAGCCCACAGTTGGTCCGTATGGGCCAATCCCCTGCCAGAAAGTCTGCCAGCAGTGTTTTGCATACAAGCACATTCAAATGAACATCACATGTGTTTCATCTCAGACAATGTGCTGAGGCTGAACACAGTCTGGCCCACCTCAAATACAAAGATATACCATAAAACAAAGACATGACATGCCATGCTTTACACTTAGCTAAACATTCTGTATGGGTTCTTAATAAACAGCTTTATCTCACCTCCAGTTTACTGACACGTATGTTAAACAGAATATAAAATGAACTTGTCACTATATGGCTTATTCCAAAAGTCCTCATCTTTTGCAGGATAAGCCTCGCTGAAGCATTATAAACACTTTAGTTTAAAACCTGTAAACTGCCTTTCAATCGTGTTTAATATGGGGATGGTTTCATCAAAACAGAATAAAAAATACTCAGCTTTAGGGTGACTTGCCAAAAGCCAGGCAAACCAAACAATCTACAAGTAAGAGTGCTTGCTCAAGATAGTAGCATTAATCTGATCTATCTGACCAGCCACTACTGCTGTTGCTTTTGAAAGATCCTCTGAGAAAAGCTACATATAGCAGAGAATCCTTACCTCGCTGTTATGGTTTATAATACGAACAATAGGTGTCATCCATCCTAGGTGACCGTTGAGGTTAGTCTCTAGTTGTGAATGTTAAATTATGACTGTCTTGAAAAAATATGGCTAGAATTGTCTTTCCATGTCTAAGGGGTCTCAACACCTACAGATGGCCATTTTTAATGACACATAATATACCAGAGACTTACACCACATAGAAACCATTTATGGTTTATGTCTTTGAGGATGAGACCACTGTCTTAGGTCGAGACATGAGCTTGCTAACTCAGTTGCTGGCTTAGGATAAAAACAAGCTACTTTAAAAGACTTCAAATTGATTATTACATAATTTTATGTGGAATGTCTGTGGGTGGGTGAGCAAACAGCAACAAGGATGTAACAGCATGTACTTAATTGATTTGATGTTCATATTTTGCTCCAGAAATGCTGAATCAAAAAAAAAAAAATCCTTATGGTAAAGGTGTTGCTGATGTTATGTTTATCCTCTCACTGCTCCCCTCTATACTGGCCAGACTACTCAAAATGTTAAGAGGTAGCTGGTGATTTTCAGGTATTGCATGTGTGGTCCGAGGAAACCATGCTGGCTGAAAGATGCCAAGGCTTTACATTCCTACGGTTCAGTCATGGAAACAAAACTTGTCTTAAGATGAGTCAATTAGACAGGCATGCTTAGTTTTCTTTGGTAATAGTCGGCTTGTTTTTCCCAATAAGGTCAAATGTTAAGGCCTATTTGGTTTTGTGGCTGTACTCTTCGGTGTATTTGAAATCCATTACCATGCCTGAGGCATTCGTGCTGGAAACAGACCAAAGGACAGCTGTTTGTAAAGTCAAATACCCCTAGCGTTTCCTCTTTTTGTTAAGTTAACATGGCTACAACATCCCTTTGGGCTTCAGAAATTCTATTTCTGGTTCATTCGGGTCTAAGGTGCTTTGGTGTTGGTACCTAAATACCTTAACAGTTGGATTCCTCTCCAAGAAAATCATGGACCATTAAGAGTTGTTCCCCACCCATCAGCTTCAGATGTAGCTGTGGAAGTGAGTTTGCAGCCCACTTACAGCACAGGGCTCATTCCCATTGCAGCAGCAGCAGTGGCCCTACTTTTGTGAGGGGCTTTCCCGGGGACACAAGTCCGAGGCAGGAGTGATTGCTGGACGTGCACATGCAGGGACAGACTAGCACGGAGGGGGCATTGCTGCAAACATCCACCTGCGTCCCAGGGCCATGGCACATCAGTAAGGATTTGGCTCAGCACCAGGCCTTGTGCAGGTGCAAATTTTGAAAAAGGAGTTAGGCACCATCAACAGGACCTACCCAGATCTGAAGCAGCTAAGTAGAAAGCTACTATCTTGAGACTTGCCCATCCCTTATGACCAAGGAAGGATTAAAGCAAAACAAAGGATTAAAAGGCACCTTTTGACAGAAATTTTTGACAAACCAGAAGGAATTTTGACATAAAGCCGAAATTCCCTGTTCAACAGAAAATTGCTACAGCTCTGTTGCTACTAAGACTCAAAAACTCCCTAGCCTGCGCTGCTGCTCTTCTGGCTCTCCTCCACAGGATCTAGCAACAAGGTAGTGTGTTCCTGCAAGGATTGCCATGCCTCAGGCACAGTTGTGTGCAGATAGATCATGTTTTTATACAATGCAATCACAAGGGCTTCATTCTGAAAATGTGAGTGTGAGAAAAAGGAAATTATGATACCCACCTCTTATACACTTGGGCACCAATACTGCAGCAGTGGCACCCTCTGCCACTCAGCCTGAGGAGTGCAAGGAAGGATGCGGTCACCATCCTCTCATGGTAGGCTTGCAGTGCACTACTGCTGCACCAGCTCTCTCCTCATCAGCAAGGGAGGTGATGCCCCTCAGCTCCCCGGTAAGTGGGCACCTTCATTAGTTATGCCTCCTTCCCAGGAGGATGCTCCAAGCTCCTGTGCTCGAGCCTAGGCCAGTTGTGGGCACTTGCTGGCAGAAATGAGGCCACGATACAAGACAGAGAATAACCAGGCTGCAAGACAGAGCAAGCCGGCGAGAGTACCGCACTGTAACCAGGCTGTTAGGTTCTTCAGGCACAGGAAGGCAGCGTCTTGTATTTCAGCCCTGTTACCCAGCGTTAGGTGTGTCCCTGGCTTGCAAAAACAGTCTAGGAGCCAGAACAGAAGCAAATGTTGAAACAGTGCCTCTTTGCAAAACAGAAGTCATGTTTTCATCTGGACACCAGACAGTTTTGATCTACCAACAAATCAAGTGGGTGGTTCAGAAACCATTTTTAACACTTAGGGACTTAAACTGTGTTTCTTTGTTTATTCCCATACCTATAATCATCTGTGACTCTTTATTATTTACAGTGTTTCAGAGCAAGAGCTCGCACACCTAATGATGATTAATTCCGCTGGACTGGGTAACTGGCTCCCCTGTGGATATCCTGTTTTCCTGTGAATCATCATTCCTCCTTGAGACATCCTCCAACTCAGATCAAAGATTCAGAATTTATTAGATATGAAGACATCAGACAGCTCAAGCAGATTAGAAAAGACACACAAAGAAATGCATCCCACCTTCTCCCGCCCGTCCTGCTGAAAACTGACATGGTGACACAATCCTAAATACTTGTTATACAAGAAACAGTAGAAAGACAAAAAGAAGAAAAAATGAAAGAGACTTTTGAAATTTAGTTTACCCAGAGTCTTCTACAAATTAAATTTTCTAAGTATTTGCACTTTTGTACTTACTTACTTCTCCCCTGCAGTTGGAAACTTTTCAGGCTAGATCTCCATCTGATGGAAATGACATCCATAAGCTTCAGCAAGAGCTGCGCCAACAGCATCAGTGGAGGACTTGGTACTGTCCATTTAAGTATTGAGCCTTGCCTACAAACACACAAATTAAAGGAACATAAAGGTCTGTTTTTTCAAGTCTATGCAGTCTCTTGTGTTCTTGATGGTTTTATTCATTTTTCCATTTAACAATATGAAGAACTGAAAAAGTTCTGTACCAGTGAAATGCCAAAACCTAAGGTCATAAGGTCAGACTAGATTATCTTAATAGTCTCTTCTCCCCTTGCAATCTTTGAACACAGGTTTTATCGGATAGAGCAGTTAAAGTCTTTATTTCAGCAGTGTTTGATCTTCAGGATTGCACAAATAACTCGCCTTTTTTAGAATCTGAACTTTTTTTAAAAATAGAATTTTAAACTCTCCTTTTAATGGATGCCTTTTAATCCTTAAGAACAAGAGCTGTGTTTGATCTAAGACAATGGACAATGTGTTTGGATAGTCTGAGAGAACATTTTTATGGGAGTGTTTGAACAATATATTGTGTTTTTTCATTAAGGACTACAGGACTATCCTTTTTTTTCTGTCATTAAACTCATATAAAAGAAAGATAAAATGTGCAGCTCGTACACCTTAAAGTGGACTGCATCAGGCTTTTAGTCCCGGTCTTCTAAATCTTCTGTTAGCCTTCTGCACTTGGAAGGGAAAAAGAAACACTTTTAACCCTACACACTGTGAACACTCATTTGAAGGCAATGGAGGAAAGAATACCCTGCAGGAATACACTCTGCAAATACTCAGCAAAATCATTAGATCTGCATATTTATCACACAGAATTGTCTAGGTTGGAAAAGACCTTGAAGATCATCCAGTCCAACCATTAACCGAACACTGACAGTTAACCTAACATTGACAGTTAAATTCTTAATCGGTGAGGTTTTGGCAGAATTAAGGGTGTTTTTTTAAGCCAGACTATAGTTTGTCCAAGTCCCTGTGTGGAGTTCAGCTGTTTATGTTTTCTCTGAGGAAAAATATCATAAGGTCTGATGATGAGTTGTTCTCTGCCTCAAAAAAAGCCCTGATGTGGCAGTATCAACATGCAGCATGGTTGTGAGAAGCATGTGAACTGAGCCCAAAGTTTGCCCCTTGATGCAGCTTCCCCATCTGGGGACAGCCGTCAGGGCCACCACAGCTGTTCAAGGGAGGTGGAATTGGGTTTGAAGGAATGAGGGCCAAATAACATGAAAATTATTTGCCTTCTGCACAGAGACAGAAACCTTGTTGTCTAGTCCTCGGGACAAATGGATAATATTTTTGATTTCCTAATCCATGGTATTTCTGTTGTTTTCATGACCCTTCCCCCCTTTAATTGGACCCATGTATGCAATACACATGTAATTAGCAATGCACTGGAAATGATGACTGATAACATCATTTTCCAACATTTGCAAGAAAGAAGAGTGGGCAATTGTTGGTCTGTCCAATCTAGAACGTGGCCTGTAGGTGCCAGGTAGGCATGCCAGAGCATGTGCTTGAAACTTCACCGGGCACATCCAACATTATACCTAATGCCTTGCCTCCTTCAGATTCTTCCCTGTCAGTTCATCCAGGGCAGTGGCGAGGGAGCTGAGGACTGCTAGCTTTTTAACCAGATGCTAGCTAGTGCCTCGAAGAAGTGCAAACTCCTACCTCATCCTATTAGGGACCATTTACTGAGCACATTTTGTGTTTTGTGTGGGTATGATAATGCAGTTTTGTCAGTCCCATGCTGGAGTACTGACCAGACAATAAAGCTGTCTGCATAATGATGGTGCCAAACAGGGGGAGTGGGGGGAAAACTGAACTAAAGCTAGGTTTGTGTGTTGTCCCTCTAGGAATTACTTTGTGAGTTTCTGGCACCAGCATAAAAAATGAAGCCATCTGAGAAGGGACTGGACTTCGCTACTTTGGAGGGTGAGGGAGAATGCTTTTAAAATGTTTGGTCCAGAAAAATTAAGACAAAGCCTGGCCTCAGTGTTGTCATAAGCAGTCTCCTACTGCCTTCAGGAGGGCCAGGATTTCACTCACATATTTTTAAGGCTAGAGCATGGAGAGTATCTTACAACAGAGCATGGGTATTTCTGGCACAATGGGGATTGCTGTTAATGACACCGGAAAGTGATTTTTTTTTTTTTTTTTTAACCTGGCATTGCTCCTTCAAGCAAATTAAAGTCTGATACATTTGCATTTCTACGTGTCATTAACCCAGACACCTACTGCAGGGCCTAAAGCTTGTATCTGCTGGCAAGACTAAATCCTACTAATGCGCTTTTCCTAACGCACTGAGGGAATCTGGAGTCTCTCCTTTTGAAGCTGACTTGCTATTTTGACTAATTGCTTCTGGTAACAGTTAATAGCATTTTGCAAAGGCACTTCATCTGCTGACAGCAGATTGATGTAAGAAAGGGACACAGTTCACATTTCCAAAGGGAGCATTGGGAAACCCATTACCAGCTTCATTAATCTGTTAATAATAAAATTAAAGTACAAATAAAATGTGACAAATTGGGTTCTGTTGTGAAAGTCACTTTAACAGGAGGCTCTGAATAAAGGTCAAAACAGACTCTGATTTCTGCTGTGTTTTAATAGTAGAATCAGAGGAGAGCATTGTAGAAATGCTGTAATTAATCTGGCGATACTATAATTGTCCCCAAACGATACAGAGAGTATGACAAGTGATTTTTTTTTTTTTCCTTGAGAGCATTTACAAAACCTGGAACACAAAGCTTTGTCACACAACATTTAAGTGCTAATCCAATTTCACAGGAAGCTTTCAACAACGTGGTTACAGTAGATAGGCTTACTTTTGCTTGCCTGCGTACTTGCAGCTGCTATCTCAGTCAAAAATCAGGTTCACCCAGCACAGGGGCAAAGGAGAGAAGAAAAGCCCTGCAGGTGTAGATTTTCTAGCAGCAGTCACAGAAATGAGCCTGACATTGGAAAAAGGCTTCATCGAAGAGTCAATAAACCAGATCAAACAGCCCTTTTCTGGCAAGGATGGGGCTGGCTTGCCACAAGCCCTTGTTTAAAATGAAAACCATATAAAATGAGCTTACCATCCACCCCTTGTTTCAGGACTATCCCCCTAACCTATCGGTGCCTCCTGCATCTCTAACATTAGCCTTCCTAGCCACATCCTAGGTTGGCGGGATATTTTAGTCTAGTCTCTACACTTAAATAATCCTCCTGCTGTGATCTTCAGCTAATACCACAGAAACAAAACTGCAAAGAACGAGACCCATTTCAGCCTTTCCGAGGCACGGTGTTAATGGGTTCGGTAGAAAAATGGCCAATTTATCTAAGTTCCTGCTTATTACAGTTGAGCAATTGCCCCAAAAGCAATCAGTCAGTCGCAGAGCATAATGTGGGGACACAGCTGCAACGAATAGAGGGCTTCCTGCAGCCTGGCAAAGCAGCCGTCTGCTGGGAGCACCTGAACCAAAGGCACACTTATTAGAGAACCCAGCCAGGCAAACAAATATATAAACATGTTAATGTGAAGTATTTGAAGAGAATGGATCATTAAGTCAGGCAGGATGACTGTATGGAAAACTGATAGCTCTATTTTAAAAATCAGCAGGAGGAAAAGGAGAAGGCTGTCCTTTTGGTTTATGCAAGCCAAAAGGAGTCTGTACAGCCTCCCTCTCCTCCAGTCATTTTAAGGATAATCTCACCCTGAAGAGACCACACTTCCAGTCTGAGAAGCACCATGTGGCGTTAGTTATGTCAGGAAAGAAGCAACAGAAGGGGGAGAATAAAGAGGAGGGGAAGGAGGACATGCTTGTCACCTGGTCCCCAAGAGGAGTTTACAATTACTTGAAGGAGGTGTGAACAGTGTGGTGAGGAACTGCCCCAGTGTTGATGGGCTGGGGGCCTGGGAAAGGCAAGAAGCCTGGAGCAGCTGCCCATCAGTGTGAAAACATTGATAGTCTGGAAATCAGATGTAAATTGGGTCTAGAGGCCAGGAACTGTGTGGGTTGTGTGACGAGCTACTAAGCAGAGAGGCAGAGTATGGGAGGGAGAGAGGGGAGCAAGAAAGAAGCCAGTTCTGGATGGAGTAACCTTTCACTAGTGCAGCACCCTCTCAGAGGAAGGAGTGGGACAGAATTCACACAGATGAACAGAATTTTTGCTACAACGTGTAGAGAGAGTCCTTCTTGTACTCAGCCTGACTTTAGCTGCTTGCTTTATGCACGTTTAAGATCTATTTGTTAATAATGTCAAGTCAGACCTCTAATTCTTGTTCTAGGGATGTGAGCTCTAGAAGTGCATCTATCAATCCAGTTCAGATTGTGTTCATGGAGAGCTAAATTGTCTGTGTCTGGGGAAAGATTTTGGGCAAATCGATGACAGGCAGGTCTAGGATGGCAGCTGCTTTGGGAGGTGGTGGTTGCTTGATTTGCGTTTAGTTAGTTGAGGACTCTCTGCTGCCTTTTGTCTGCTCAGCCAGAGCTCAGGGACACTGCTCCTGCTAACAGAGTGCTATTTCCTACCCCCTTTGTCCCATTTCCTATGACTATCCCTTTTTCTATCCTCTGAAATGGGTCCTCTTGTGCAGTGTTTGTACAAGCTCTGCTTGGTTTCTCTCTTTCCTCCTGCTTGTATCTCCTGTCCAGCAGAAATTTGTGTGTACTTGACTGAGCATGAGCCTGAGGAAGATGGTCACTATTGTAAAAGATCAGTCCCAGGGCTGCTTGATACCTACCAGGTTGTTGAGTCTTCCTCGAAGCCTTTGCTAGCCACATCTGCTGCATCACAAGTCAAGGAGCTTCAAACTGCTATTGTTTATGTATAGGATTCTGCAGCTGCCTGTTGTAAAGGCAATCATGCTCCAGGCTTTTCTTCTGTATAGTATACACCTCTCTCATAATTGCTTTCTCTTTCTCCTCCTCAAGTTGTTCTGCCTTGTAAAATATTAGAGAGAACAATCCTATGCAGAGAATTTCAAATAGGGATGACCTCAGGCCGGAATGCCCAAACACAGCTGCTGTAGTCCAGTCAGTACAGTGTAACTCCGGGATCGGCAGTTGCTCTAGGTAATTCCAGCTCTGTATTTTAATTCTCTCAAGGCAGTGATTGTAATAGCAAAACACTGGTCTTGATTTTTGGGGTGCCTCTACTCTTTTGAACAGATCTGTTAGAATGTCAGGAAAACACAGGATGAGATATAACCAACCCAAGAGAAAACTGGCATTAACAGTTTGATTGCCACCTTCTTTGTCTTCCTCTTTGGACTATAAATGTTGACTGAAAGGCCTTTTTAATCAATGTTTATGGATCCTGTCAGCCTCTAAAATACATTTTTGCATAAAGATACAAGAAGATGCCAGGGAAAAACTCTGCCTTTGTGTTCAAATCCTCATTGCTCATGGCCAACAGTGCTGAACCTCATTTCTTGTCTCTTCAGTGAATAACAGAGCACATGTACCATTCTGCACAGAGGATTGGGACTAGTATAAACAAAACAAAGAAACAGTTATTTCATGTTGAAAAATTAGGGATCAGAGTGTCTATTTAGAAAGTTAATTGCTTTTTTGGGGCCTTTTTTGTTTTTTAGCAGTGGTAGGGGCTCAGCACTGTGCCCATAATGCACTTGGAGTTTCTCTCTGTTGCTCCACACATATGGTCTACATAAAACCAGATCCTTCCTGCTCCCCAGATTTCTCTTTCAACTATGCCAGGGAACAGCAAGGGATAGCAAGGTAAGTGTGACATCAGGTCCAGTGGGGTTGG